TTTGCAATTTGGAACTATAAATTCTGGCTCATGTGAAAAAACACTTATGTGCATGGGAAAACGAATGGCACATACGTTGTTTTTAAACCGGGCCGAACTTTATAGTTCCTAATTGCAAAATGCAGTCCAAATAGCCTTCATCAGCTTTAACGTAAGTACGTAAAGTGACTGGTATCGTTTACCACTAAACAGTTCTGTTGATTCTCCGATATGCGGCTCGGATTCGAACGATTTCTGTAAAATTTGGCATCAGGTGGCATATTTTGACGGGAAACTTAATTTCAACTAAAATTTTAAAAGGAAAAAAATCATTTTTGCAACTCTGGTTTGACTGAAATTTTGAGAAATTATTTTTGAGCGACTTGGAACGTTAAAAAGGTTGTTCAACCTACCCTTTGGACCCTTCATCCGCCTGAGGTTTTCGTAACCAGTCTCTATGCTTAATTGTCTTTATCAAATTGTCTCCTCCTAAATTCTAACTTGTCTTTTGTTTGCTTATGTATATAATCATGTAATCTTACTATGTCTTACTCTTTGTTTGAGGTCGAATAAAAGAAAAATCAATTGCTCAAATTTTTTCCTCCCGCTTTTATTTGTGAAAAAGAACTACCTATCTTTTTTTGAAAGATTCACTACTCACCCAAGCTGCTGAAGTTACAAAGGAAGTTTTGAGCTTAAGGCTATAGACCTACACCTAAGTATTAGGTATTACTGTAAGCTTGTTTCATTTGAACACGGAAAACTCGAGAATTCGCTGAAAGAATTTACTCTGTTCGTAATGAGACAATTTCTTGCAATCGCAGTTTCAAATTGAAAACTTAGCATTTTGAAAAAGACTTGCTCTCTTTTGTAGGATCTCCGAATCAAGATATTCTTTCAGACTTCATGAGGAATAACTAGGTGTGGACGATGCATTCATGTGGCCGAATTTTTTCTCGTCTTTTCTCTCTCTTTTTTTTTAAATTGAAAATTTCGTAACGTTATGCTTTGAAATTTTTTGAGTGAGTACATTTTTCACAATCTGCGGTAAGTTCACAAACAATTATCGTAAGTCATTGTGTTGGTTAGTTTTCAGTTTCAGAAATAAAAATATAAGTAAATAGAAATTGTAGTATCATTTTACAACAGAATCTGAAAACTTCCGAAACCTGTCGACAAAACCAAAATCTATCTTTTGGTCAAATATTTTCTCGAAACCTTCTGAACTACTTCTCCACGAATTGTTCCTGGCATAGGTACTTTTGTTGCTTACTTTATGTGTCAATGCAAAACCAGAGGAAATGCACAAATAATAAAGGGAGGAAAGTAAAAGTACAGAATAAGTGATGCACAAATTTTAGGACTTGATAAAATAATTTAGGTACATTTTATTTTACTCCAAAAAAAAAAAATGAAAAAGAAACCAGCAGATTTCAGCCACAACAATAACAACAGAAGGCTTGAATTTTCTTAAAATTACAGCTTAAAAATAACATTTACTTCAGTCTTAGAGCATAAATAACTCCATTGAAGAGCAGTAGGTGATTGAAAGGTTTACACTAATATTATCCTTTGATAGTACATATGCAAGGCCTTCATATATAGCTCCAAAAAATTTCCCCTGGACCAATTGTACTTTAGAGCGTGTGTGCAAAACTGAACTATTATTGAATCAATACCTTCGCAGAGGAAGCCATTCCTGTGTAGGTATACAAAGTTCTGGGATGGGCCAAACCTTGGGATTAATTGTGTTCTGTAGAGAATTATTAAACAGAAGACCAAATCTCTTCTATAAAAGCACTTCTCACAAAAAAAAAAAACCAAACACACACGAATGGTTTTACAATGAAGAGTGACCTAAATGGCCATCAAAACGGCGTTAATGGACAATAAAACTCAAAGAAAATTCAGGGCAAGCAATATAGTAATTGAAGTGGAAGTCACCGGGTCTGAGATTCTAAAACTGCAATTTCCATAAATTAAATTCGCTATTAATTATTGAAATCCACCAAGGCTGAAATTAGAAATCAGCAATTTCCTTAGAATAAGATTAGGAGAAATTACGTAAAAGATCGTGATTGATGACTGATGATACTTTTGGCCCCACAATTACCCTTCAAATTCAGCGGCCCATCGCAATTTTTGAGTAATTCATCAATCCTTCATTTTTCTCAGCAGTTGGTAGTCTATCCAACTTTATGCGTAGGTGTTCTTTTTTTTCCCAATAAAAACTGGAATCAACCTCATAAAGACTATTAAGTGCAGCAGTGATTCCCAAAGTGTGTTCCACTATGACTCTCCAGGAGGTATGCGGGACAAAATAGGTCGATCCAAAATCACGAAGTCTAAGTTTCGAAATTTCGACATCACTCAAAAGATACAGGGAGAGAAATCGCCTTGGTAACGGTTGTGAGCAATATTTTGTTCGAAAAATTTTCATGGCGTCTACCGTCTTAGCATCTAGGATGTAGATTTCTGTCGAAAATTTAGCACAGGGTCCGCGAACAGGAAAGTTTGGGAAACACTGAAGTAAAGCACTATGAGCGACAAAATCAAACTTATTTATACAAAACTGAAAATCTACAACAAACTAAATGGTGTATTCAAGATATTTATTTCTTTGGATCCTACTCTTTTTCTATGCTTACAAAAATTGAAGAGAATCAATTTCAGAGTTTAGTGCAAAGTATGAATTCCAATGACTAGATTCTTAAACAGTAAAAGAATTCAGGGGACAACATTGAAAAATCTATGAAACAGATACCCCTGCCCGCTAAAACTACCATACCAAGGAGTCCTCTTTTTGCAAAATTCGAGAACACCATTTTAAACACTTACATTTTAAAATCAGAGTACATGGCGAGCACTTCCCTCCAAATGAGTCAACAATAAATACTTCTAGATCAAAGGAAAATTGGTTGGAAAATCCTATGTTGATTAGCTCTTCTAGTTTTATGGAGTTAGCAAGAAAACTTCTTTGGACTAATAATATAGAAAAGAAGTGATTAAATTACACTTTTAGGAATAAAATTTGAGGCTGTGAAACGATGCTCACGTATATAAAAAAATATACTTAAATCTTATGAATGTTTTACAGGACGGCAGAAAATATCTATATACAGTATGGTAATCAACAAAGCCAACAGAAGACAAGAGACATCTTGCAAATTCTATTATAATATAGTATTGATTAGTCAAAAGTATTTTCGATAAAGGAGAAAAACTGTCATTGTGGGAAAAAAAAAAAAAAAAAAAAGACAGAAATTGTACCAGCATTATGAAACGCTTTTCTAATGTGAGCAAAAAGCCACCAGATTCTGCATTGTCTTAAAAATAATCTAAAAATTATTACTCTTAGTGGCAAGGCAATCTTCATGATGAAATTAGATGAAAGTATCTCTAATGCGGTGTTGCAAAATTTCTGCTCTTACTTTATTCTCCAAAGGAATACAAACTAATGAATTGGCATGCGATTTTTAAAGGAAATCTTTCATGGTAGAAAAAAAATCATAGTCATATCACAAAATGAAACTTGCTTCCCCGTTTTGGAAGAAAAAAAAAGAAAAAATAGGTGGGAAGTAGAAAACAAATGTTTTCTTTAGTTTTCATATCACCATGAAAATTAGTCAAATTAACAGAATCAAGTGTATGATCAACTTGGTGAACTGATTTATAAAATGTATTTCAGATCCTAAACTCTCTTCATCAAAATTATACAGATTTAAATTAAAATTTTAAAATTAATTTTCACCAGGTTGGTTGATTCTTGTAGCTTGTTTTACAAAATTATAATGATTCTGAACTTAAAACTTATGGAACTTAGTGCATGGCGGTGTATTTAAGAGTAAGTGCTCGAGAAAATTAATGAAATCTAGCGATAATAGACTGGATCAGTGCATTGGCTCTAAGGGTAGGTAAGTGTACATTAAGTATATAAGGACAAAATTGGTAATTAAAGCACATGTTGTCACAATGGAACTCAATGCAGTTGATAGTAACTCAACAGCGTAAGTCCGCAATCACAAATCTCGTTTGGGGTGTCTGAAAATCTCCGCCTCTATGTTATTTTTTTAAAGGAGAACAAATTAACATCATTTCTTAAAGTTTTTGCAGAGTTTTCTTCGCACAGAGAAGAACAATCATGGCAGTTTTAAAGAATTGCCGTTGAGTAGTTTTCCGTTTAAAAATAAAGTATGGCAGGAAGTCTGCAACATCGCAAACTGAGTTATGTGATTGCCGACTTACACCGTCGAACTGTTACTTCAGAACTTCTGAACATGAAATAAGTTTGAAATCCCCTTGGACAACTCTTTGCTCCAAATTTTACAGCTAAATTGACGGATAGGATTTTAGCGCAAGTTCTGGCAAAGCTCAACAACGATCCAGAACCACACCTTTACAACACTCAAAATAGAGCAATATGACTTCATTCTGTTCTCAGCAAAAATAAAATTCCGTTAAGGTAAAAGAAAGAATTTAGTGGCCATACCAAAGGTAGACTCCTTTGAGGGTTTCCAGAAGTTGGAGCATTCTTGAAATGAGTAAACGTACAACATGATTAATATGCCAGTTAAATTGGTAGTTCTACATGAATTTTATGGTAGAAAATCTACGTTGAGTGCGAGAAAGCAAAATGAATTGATTAAACAAATATAAATTCACAACATTGTAAATCACTTAAGTTCCCTTTGTAGGGAAATCTAGAAAAATTAAAAATCATCACAAAATATGTTACAAAAATATGCAATTTCAATTGATGAAATAACCAAAAATTCGTTGGATTTCTTGGAAGTTTAAGACCCACCAAACTTAAAAGTACTTGATTCAAAAAAGGTGCTCTCCTCCTTCTCCAAGAGAATTAAGCTAATAATTTACTGATGAAAAACCAGCAATTAAAAATGGTAAAAAATAAGTTTGTGACCTATACTTTTGTTATTCTTTCCCCACAAACACTTTAGTATGATCAATGGAATTGGTTTATAAGGAAACAGTGTGCTGATAAAACCTAGAGGTGGATTGCATTTTTTTAAAAAAATTTCTCCCTTTCCTTCTCAAACTTTGCAGATAGGAATAGCGCATCACAATTTTACTCAGTTAATTATTCACGAGGTATCTCCTTCTGTCATCTGTCATACAATTGTTCAATGTATCTGCAAAAAATATATCCTAGAGTCATCCATTGCTGGCAATTTTGCTTCAAAGATCGATAAATCAGGGATCTGATAAACTAGGTTTTAATAAGCAGGCTGTTGCATGCAAGGAAGATAGGTTTCCCAGTTTCTTGCAACTTATGACAGAACAGAGGATATGATCAACTGATATAATTCACAAATCAAATTTATCAACACAAGCCTTCGGCCTAAGAGATAAAATCCATAAAAAAAATCAGGATGAGGAGGAATGTTTTATCAGCTACTTAAATTTTTATTGTAAAGTTGCAATTTTTTACGACCCATCAAATTTTTTTTCTTTCTTTCTCTCCAAAGAACAACTTTGACAAAAGGAACCAACATAATTAAAAAAGTACATTTACTTAGCTTTCAAAATTTGAATAGCCTTTAAATTCTGCAACTGGCAATTGAAAATAGATTACATAGTTTGAAACACATTCTAAAAAATTGTCAAACTACACAACTGATGAGTTTACAGCCAAAGCAAAAACCTTCATTGCTATAGAATCTTTCCATGAAAATTTGTAGAAAATTGCAGAAGAAATCTAGAGAATGTGCAAACTAAGTAGCGCTTATAAAATTTGGATCAAATCATAGAAAAACTGAGAGAAGGAGCCCATGAGCCAAAATTTAAAATTTTCTTCAAAGAGAATTACACATAATTCACGTTCGATCACTTTCAGATCATAACCCCTTCAACATCATGTGTTCAGTTCTGAAACTGAAGCTAGTTTGGTCAACTTTTTGGCTCTATCCTTAGTGAACTTAAAAATTCTACTTACAACTACCCCCCCTTTCTGCCCGTGTCATAGATTTAAGGCTGGCTCTGATCCAGCCGAGGTTGGAACGCTGTTCAACAAAACTGCACCGGGTAACGAAGTCTGGGAAGATTTAAGACTATATGAAGTTGGTTCAGGTAGCAGAGGATTCTCATCTTCTTCACGTAAAAGCTCCTTGTTCAGGCAAACATCATTTATATTAACTGTAGAGTTGGAGAAAATTGGAGCGACGCCCAAGTTTTCATTGACTGCATTAGTGAAATGATCATTGGATTTTGTATTGCTACTTGGAGGGTGGATTGGACTCGTTGCAGTGTCACGGATGATTCGGATCCGCGATGACTCTGATGAAGAAGTTTTTTCCTGTAAACAAAATAAAAAATTTAATCTTTTACTTTGCCTCTTTTGATTATATTCTGAATAGGTATTGAAGGGCCCTTTTCACATTAATGATATATGAGGACTATCTGTAACAATAGCGGATGTGAAAAATTACCTTTGCAAAACACATTCAAAAAGCTGTTTTAGCATCGAGAAAATTTTGAGAAAATACTTGAGATGTGATCTTCGAGATCTGTACATTATGCCAGAGCCAAACATATTAAATTTTTGAGTGAACAAAACAGTTTTTTAAGCATGTTTTGAAAAGGTAATTTTTCACATCCGCTATTGTTACAGATAAGTCCTCATATATCGATGGTGGAACTCTTAAACCTGTCAGCGCCAATGTGGACTTTCTTGTGTAATTTACTTTTTTAATGGAAAACCACTTGGCCAAAATTCTTAAAAACTGGTATGATTTTTCTTTTCTGAGCAGGAAAAAATCTGTGAAAACTTTGAGGAATGACGTATATTAGCTCTCTTTTAAAAAAAAATAAAGTAGGATTGGAGATTTTAAAGTATCAAAAACGAGATATGAGGTTGGGGAGTTTCACCATCGATATTTAAACGTATTGTAGAAAATTTGTGATTTCCTAAGAAAATAAAGCGAGCTATTGAGAAGATGAACTGAAATGAATGAATGGCAGTCATGGATTTAATATCTTAATGTACTTGTTATCTCTTGTTACTTTAAAATGTAAGATAAGTTATTTAAGAGACGAACCCTGAAAAATATGAGAGTGCGGTAATGTGGCATAGAGAGAAAAAAGGAGGTGTTTGCATCTTTGGCATCTTGGATTTTTTTAATGATGTAGGTCAGTACAAGGAATTTCATCATCGATTTTCTTAGAAATGGTGTAGTTCATGAAAAAAAGTCATTCTTTCAAAAGTGTTGATTATAAATTATATCATGAGTTGATTGACGCAAAAAATTCGGGCGTTACGGTCAGTTTTTTATATTTCGAATTCCGTATTTTGCTGGCCAGGCTGTACCGACCTGTTAAGGGGTAAACAATCCTCAAGATGCAAACACCTACTTTGTTTTCTCTGTGAGAGTGTGGTCGAGCTCCTTGGGTCAAACACTCCAAAACTGATGATAACAAACGAATGAATATCAGTACTTACATGATGTTCACTGATGAGATCACAAGCTTTGCCAAGTATAAAGATGCTATTGATGATTCTCGTTGAAGTAAGACATAAAAAGCCGAGTAAGACCAGAAACAGTGCAGAGGGTGTTTGTACACTGATTGCTGAAGCAAGAACTCGTACCATAACCACACCCAATGGCAGAGGAATAAAACCCATCCTTCTTGCAACCAGATCTGAATGATCAGTGAATGCCTGAAAGATAATGAACACAAATAAGTGCTTGTGCTGACAAATCATCAGGATTGAACCTTAAGGTAAGAGCAGCAAATAGGAACCGCTATCACACATTCTCTTCAGACACTTTCCACTTGATCAGAACTCAGTAGACTTTGTCTGTTTGAAATGACATTTAACATATCGGGTCATTGGTCAAAATTTTATACTTATACTCAATCATTTCCATACCTAGGGTACGATACATTTCATTTATTAGGGTTTACCAAGGCTCGTCAAGATGGATAAAATCAACTTTTATTTCACTGAGGACATCCAAACCTTTCAACCTTTGTATACTTACATTATGCTGTCTTGTTTGAGCTACATCATACGCAAGACTCAGAGAGTAATCCCGATAAACATCGACTGGCAATTCATTAAACCGAGTGATGAATGCATGTTTGATCCAATCCACCACACATTCAGACAAAAGGACCCACAGGCAATCATAAAGAAGGGACCATAATTTTTCTGCAAATAAAAAAAGAATCTATTACCATACAGAAAAGAATGAGTTTCTACATAATAGAAAAGTGCTTGCAGAGAGAGATGCTTAAAATTATGATGAATAAGAGCAAAAAGTTTATCTCTCATTTGAATGTTGCTTTATTATCAGCTGACAATAGTTAAATTCCTTGGTATTCTCCACATTTAATGAGTCTCTGTATGAGAGACTGGTCTGTTATGACGGCATATATTATTCATACAAACCTTCTCTCCAGACATACTCCTTCATGGTTTGGAGAACAACTACGAAAAGTAGAACAAATAAATGAAATCGCTCTCGAACATCGCTGCAGGCCACTTGAAATAGGTTATTCTTGTCAAATTTCTTGAAGACACTTCCTTTTAGTTCAACAAACTGCAAGGAGGAAAAAACAAAAATTACGCAAACTTTGTCATTGAGAGAATTTTATGAATGTTGAAAAAAGAAACAGAATCTTAATTCAATCAAGTTAAATTAGTCGTATTACTACTAAAGGCATTTCCAAAAACTAACCCTGTTGGTAAAAAATAGAGCCAAGATTTAAAATTGAAACCTGATACTATTTTTTATCAGATAATTTCCCTTAACAATTTGTTGACTATTTTTATTGTAGGGAAATTAAAATGCTGCATACCTGCAGGCGCATATTGATGGCTATGGAACAATACCACTTATCAGCAAACTGGCGATTTTGCATGACAAAGAAGGATCTTCGCCATTTTTGTAATTTTGTGGTTAGATTAACAATTTTTTTCTACATTACAGCGTCTTTACAGTGATCTCATGCGAAGCTGGAAAAAACTAAAAACATCAGCTTGCATATTAGATATTGAAGAATGCGGCAAAGTTGCTGACTCGTTTTACCAAAATTGTTAGTTAGGGTGTATTGTTCCTTAGCCCGCGATATGCTATAAATCTTTTGCAAATAGAGGTTTGGATACTGTCCTAATCGGTGATCCTTTTTAGAGGACCTTAGAAAGGAACTAAAGTCTACTTGTGATACAGTTATTTATGGATAAATTATGATTATTTAAAATCCATTGTTCATCAATGTTTTAATATTTTTTCACATCTTCATAAGAAAATAGATATGACACATCAAGACCTAATTTATTCTGGAATACTACTTACACAAACACAAGCAATTTGAAAAAAAGAGAGAAACAACATCAAATAAGAGACTTACATTGTTGGACATCATTATGGTTAATAACGATTTATTACTAGAGTTGATGGCCACATTTAGAGTAGTTGCTTGGCACAAGACTAGGAGCCCATGAAGATCTAATCGAGAGAGAGAGTTAAGGAAAATTTATGTTGATTATTTGTAGCTGAAAATAAACCTTGATAAACACTTCTTAATTTCATAAAATTCTAGCACAATGATTGAGGTTATAAGAAGCTTTCACTCAAGAAATAATGAATAAAAAAATTTAGAATTGCCCTTTGCACATGCTGCAAGTTTTAAGTTGAAAGTGGAGGTCATCGATGAGGGTTTTTGCAACACATTGCAGGATCATCGATGAATGATGCACCAATGACCCCCACTTTCAGCAAAACGCTTGCAACATGAGCAAAGGGCAAATGTTTCTTTTTCCTGAGCCAATCAGGTATGGAAATTAACAGCAGGCTCCCATTTTTCATTTTCTCAAGGTTACTTTCATTCTGATTGAGTGAAATCTAACAGAGGATAGTAAGTATTTGAGGGGTCTCTTCATCACCTAATCATGTAAAAGCAATAAAATTATAAGAATTTGTGTTATGACCACAAAAGTTTCCATCTGTTTGTAATACAAAAGGACGATTTGAACTGTTTGCGACAAAAGAAACCTTTCATAAAAAAAAAGAGATACCTGATCTCTACTTCTTGCAAATTTCAACATGATAGAGGTTTTTTTTTAAAATCAGTGCTACTGTCAGACAACAAGCTGCATTCTCAAAAAAACCCGCCCATGTTGAAGTCACGACCAGTAGATTTGATGCGACTAATCAGTGATTTAAAGTAGCGGTAATTTAACCACTTCTTACACCATTTGTTTATAACCCAACTCACAGAGCCTAGTGGAGGATCCAACGCAGGTTAACACTTTGTTTACATCAAGTGTGTTCTTATACTTTAATTGATTGATGGCAATCGAATGCCAAAATGGCAACCAGTGGATTTCTACAAATGATTCCGCCGATCAATGAATAGAATAAAAAATATAGAATGCTTTGTAAGAGGTCTATGCTTCGAAAGGATACAGACATAGATTACAGCAAATATCAAATGAGGAATGACCCCTAGATGCTGCTTGCCACTGTCTTTTGTTTCCGTAGCTGTCCAAAATAGAGCATCAATAATATCTTGTCCAAATGCGGAGAATAATCGATCTCCCACCTGGAAATAAACATACATTTTATTTTTTTAAAGTTCAAAGATTATTTTCAGATGACATTATTGAATGAAATTTTTAAGGAATATAAAAATTTAAAAGGCTCTTGTTACACAACGAAATCACAAACAACAGAGACTTTACTCTGACATGGAACTCCCGGTTAGTTCGAGAGAATTTATATTGATGGCCTCTTTGTCTGATGGTAATTCAATAATGTAAACCAGGGCCTACTATTTGTATGTCAAACGGAATTTGAACTGATAGCTTTTGGATAAGACTGATTACCCTTTAATTTTGACCTCGGATACTACCTTTGCTTGACCATTAGAGGAAAAGGACATTTTTTTATGGGTGTGAAATGATGATGGCAGATGCTATATTTCTTATTTTTTTATTAATTCAATAAGAATGTTCTTGAGAAATATCACCCTGCTTATAATTGTTGGGTTAAGAAAAGTCACTCTCAATCGAATATTGACAGGGAAATTTTAAAATATCCCTGAAATTATGAGTCTTTAAGATACCAATGATTCTCGTACTACATGAATTGAAAATTCATTTTTTAAAGACCTCATAAATTACCTCAAGCATATTGTAGAAGATGTACAGTTTGATTACAGATTGACTTTTGATGAGATGATACATCATTGATGTATCAATGTAGAACATCAAACCACTGCAGACCACTAGAATACTAGCTTTTAAGAGATCACAGGTCTCTGCTGGCCGAATTCGCCGTTTGGCACCAACCCTGCGAACAAAATTTTTGTTTCAAATTTAGAAAAAAGAAAAGAAAAAAAGGTCATTGCAAAACAAAGACGTAAGTTCCGAGACTACCATCCTTTTTCAATCCATATCTAGGCTGAGAATACTATAGTCAATGACCAAGCAAATAATTATCCTGTAAAGTTAGTGAAAAATAAACATAAGAGCTTACTTACCCAAAGCATTTGAAGAATGGATGTGTTAGAAAAATCCAGACTGCTATCACCACTCTGATTGGCAGAAACGTGTAAACGAACAAAAAAGAATCAGCACACTGGGGGAAAAAAAGAAAAAATGCTTCAGAACATCTTGTAAAATGACAGGCACACAAATGGTAGTACTGTTTCTAAAAATTCTCATTGAAACATTTCACTTATTGACGTCAGTAAGATCTATACCGGCAGAGAGATGTTTAACATTTTACAAACTGATGCGGCCATCATCAGGGCATGAACCCTTACAGTTACTGCACTTGATGTTAAAAAATGAGCATCTTTTGCATCAACATCCTGACCATGACGATGTTAGAACGATGCTTACGCCCCCTGTGCACATATCATAATTGACAATAATAACATATCTTTAGTATAGTTATCTTACATGTTTTTTCAGTCTTGATGTGATTATCATGTCGCTGTGAAACCATATCAGGACCGAAAAACAAGTAAGGTGACTAAACCATGCAATCTGCAAGTTTGTCATCACTCCAAAATATCCTTGGTACTCCTATACAGAACTTAATTTCCAAATACTTTGGCATTTTGATCATTAATTAAAGAGAATGACTTCACCTTCAGTGCTTATATTCAATTTTAAAAAAAGTGAATGGAGACATATCTCCACCAAAAATCAGTTGATCGGTGATAATTACTTAGCAAAGAGTTTCTCACCCATGTAGAAATTTTAACATAAATCTGGCTACAAAATTCATTTTCAACAAAAAATTACTTGCCTGCAGGAAACCATAACCCATGAATTTTTCCACCTCTACAGGTATTTTCATAAAAGAATAGACCTTCTCCCTTCTGGCGGAGTATTGATCTTCCTCATTCTGCAGGACGTAGTTCCTGGTGAGCTCCATACCAATGAACCTTCCCAAAGACGGGGTAGATGAATCTGAAAGTAAAAGAAAATAATTATGTTAATTAATTAAGTAAAATTAAAAAAAACTTTACAGCAACAGGTCATCCAAGGTAGAATCCTAGCAAATAATGCTCACGTTCTCATCTTTGTGTCAACTTTTCCAATTGACATTTCATATTGTACAGTTTTTGTGTTTTTTTTCGTTTTGTCATGTCCTTTTTTAGGATTGACAGGATCAATCGGTACCTATTAGGGGTAAAATTTGAGAAAGCATACATCAAAAATTAATGTTTCTCAAGCTCTTTGAACAACCTATTGAGCAAAATTTGATTCATTCCAATTTAACCAGAATTTTTTTTATACCAACAAATTTTTTCATCAAATCATAGTTGACTAATAGAGCGGACACATCATATGTTGAGAAAAATGTCAATCTCTGATTACGTCCTAATCAGCACCACTCAACAGGTTAATACATGCAGTTAGATGGCACCACTGATGGGTAGTAATAGTGACCTACACAATACTTGATTTTGTCTCAACATACGATGCGCCCGCTATAAGCATTAAATAGTCTCAGCTATTTCCAGTATAGACCTCAGTAGGGGTGCAAGAACTTCTTGACTACACAATCAGCCCATTACAATCATGCTAATCCAGATGAACTCTTGAAAATGGAAAGACCCAGAAAGTGGGTTTTGAATCTTATATAAATTGGAAGGCTGAGAACTTTCTGCATTCCTGAACCTTAAAAGCAACACTAGCTGCTCTACGGTACCTCTACCCTTTACCAAAGAAGTATATAACGACAGAGGTCAATGAATCTTACAGGAAGAATAAATTATTGTTAGATTGAATTGGCTGCGGAGCAGTTTGCTTGATATGACTTCACATTTTATATAAAACTTGAACCTGCACAACTGTCTTACACAACAGCTACTTTGACAATGTTACTTCAAGTGTATCACGACAAGCAACTTTTGAAGTTAGAACAACATCCATTAGTGAAAACTGTTGTCTTAATACTTTTAAATTAAAGGCCAGGAATCGTATGTCGACTGCTTAGTTATTCTGAGAGTTTCTTCGGTTTCTGCACCTTCTCAGAGAGACTAGCAGACTCGATCTCACCTTTAGATCTGAGGATGTAATTAGATACTAACATGCAAAAATGAAAAATTTGCACCTAGACTCGAGAGCATATCGGTTCAGTGATGAAGAAACTTACCAGACAATTCGCACCCTTTGGTGATGTCATGATCTGACTGGGATCTTGGGCGAGAGAAAAGTAACTCCCGGAGTTTGGCTTTGTCATATTCCGAGTCTGTGGTTGATGTTGATTTAAACTTCAGCCTTCTAGCACAAAAGGCATCTTTATGATCAACGTTGATGATTCTATCGTGCATTTTCGTGATTTAGGTACCATAAAGTTTACAAAATCGCATTGGAATTGGAAGCAAACTTCTGGTAAGGGAATGGTTCACGTAAAAACCTACGTGGCTGCCAAAATCGTGGAAATTAAGTAGAAAGTAAAGGGAGATGAAACTAAAACGCACAGTGAAAGAAAAAAACTTTGATAAGATTCATATGAAGAAAGACCACATGAGGAAATAAAACGAAAAAATAAACCCGACTTTTATCTCGGCCAGCGAAACCAAAACAAACTCAGCTGATCAGCGGAAAGTCACCATCCGTCGCCCATCGATGACCTCCTCATGTCACCTTCCACCAGATTTTGTTTTTGATTGCATACACAAATTTGATAACGCTGTGTTTACATTCTGTCTGCGCAATTTGAGTGTTTTTTTCTAATAATTTAGACGTTTCTCAAAAACTTTAAATGGCTGATAAATCAAAAAGTGACGCGTTTAAACCCCCAACTCTACCCTCATCCAAAGCAAACCCTCTTTTGAAAGCTGTTGGAAATGATTTTTCTACTCTTCCTGCGAGCTCTCTTCTCTGTCCTGTGGCTGAAACTAACATTTCAACAACTCAAGGTAAAGTTTGTAATTCGACCTTTGGCACTTTTTTACTTTAAATAAATTCATGTAGCTGGCAGTAGTTTCTCTGCATGTATTTCTATTACCTAGACGGTTATAGCATGAGCTGAAAAAAAACCCAAGATGTACCTACCTAAACATGTACGTATGTTTAGAGCTCGCGCATCGTATGTTGAGGTAAACGTCAATCTCGGATTAGCTCTGAATTTGCACCACTCAACAGGTTAATATATGTAGTCAGGTGACACCGCTAGTGAATGGTGACTTGAACAATTCTTTGACGTTTGTCTCAACGTACAATGCGCAAGCTCTAGTATTCACCATTGGAAGAAAGGTAATCACTACTTTTAACCATTGATTCAGCTTCAGCACTATTGTTATGCTTTCTGGTAGAGCAGGATTTTTCAGTCGAAAATGAGAAAATTTGGTGTTGATATATTCATGTTCATTCCGACTAAACAATGAACAGCGAGGAATAGGGCAAAAATCTGCGAATTAGGCAGCACATATGCCAAAATGTTTGAGACTGCACCACTCACCTCATGGCCCTATAAATATAATGAATCCTCTTGTGTTTTAAACCTCCTATGTCTCCTAACGATTGACAACTCTGTGCGTAGGAGAAGATGGATACTTTATGAAGGGAGAAAGTAAGTTGGGAGGAGCCATGGGTGCTTAGAACAATCTAGATCTAATGCTGAAAATTAGGTTTCCTTATCTCTTAGAGTACAAGGCTTTCAATATATGAAATCGTGCATAGCTGTTGTAACCACAGCATGGATTCAACATGCTTCCAATACTTACAGAGCTCGCACAGCGTAATGCTCAAATCTCTGACGAGCTTAAAAACAGCATAACTCAACGGCTTCATGTATGCATTCAAATGCCATTTTTGAAGGGTCATGACATTAGAATGTCTTCAAATTTTGTCATGGTATATGATTAGTGAGCTTCAGCAAGGTATATGGTATGTTGACACAAATGCATTTTAGAAAGCAGTTAAAAAAATTGAGGTTGGTGGTTTACCCCTCAATAAAAGCCCCACTGCAAGCTAAGTAGTTATACAACACCCCTTGATGCCAACGGATCAAGATCGGTCATCAAGAATCTCAACTTACAACAAGAGAGAAACATTATTTTTTTAAAAAAATATTTATTTATTTATTTAAAATTTACAAAAAGACATTCGAACATTTTCAGCGTGTGAAGTCCCTACTGCCTCTATTGCGACAGCAAGTTATTATGCCAGCAATGACTAATCCTAATAGCAAGAGAAGTAGTATAATTCCTAATACGAGTGCTGATATTTCTGCTGCCGTCCACCATTCTGCAACAAACACCAATAATGTTTTTATAAATGAGCTCCAATAAAAATTCATCGTCAACACAACACTATCCTCTCTAAGGAAAAACCCGGAATAATGTTTGAAAATTTTCAAGTTTCTGCCAAAAAATCTGAATTTTCTCCTCATATAATTTATTTTAATTTTTTTTTAAATTTTTACAAAATTTTATATACAATCAAATCTAGGTAGCGTGTCTGGACGTTTTTTTTCTCTCTCTCTCTCTCTCCCCCTCTCTCTCTCCCTCTCCCTCCCTCCCTCCCTCCCTCTCTTGAATACGTTCGGTTACTCCAGTTAAAACGATAGATTTACGATGAATACAAGGAACAGTCCAGCCTGTGCCCCATAATTTTTGGTCGCGACTTATGACACACTTCAACACGGTGTTTTATCCCCCAGCTCTATTTGTTTTTCGATACAACGATATCAGTTATATCCTATTTCGAATAGCACCGTCGCAAACCGTCCGTTCGACGAAACGCATGTTATCTTTTCGTATTTATTCTGTGACAAAACGAAAATATACAGGACTCATAATCGGGCCTTGAGCGGATTTTAACATGGGTTCCGCTTGTTTTTCGTGACGACAGCGTTAGAGAGAGGGAGGGGCTGAGGGCAAAATCAACGCGATCTGGAGGCTGCAAAGTTTCACCGTTGATGAGTCAGATGAGAGGCAAAGAAGGAATGATACGTTATAGTGAGGAGGGATGAGGAGATCATCAAAATAAAACACGCAGGAACAATACTGACATTTGGACCGCGTTAAGCAGAAGAAAACCAAGCCACATCAGCTATTACCTTTGACTGGACAGTTTAATTTTTTACATGAAAACGTTTCTGCGGATTTTTGTGCAAATTTCAGTGAATTTTCTGCATAGTACGTAGCAAATTCCTTAAAATTTGCAAAGGAAGCCGCACAAACGTTCTCTTGTAAAAAAATTAAATTGCCTGGTTTAATTTGGCGATAGCTGATGTGGCTTGGTTCCTTTCTGCTAAACGCGGTACATTTGTCCTGGCTCTTTCTTCTGACAGTGGCTCGTATGAGTACAGATATCTAAAATGTCTGAATTTTTCAAGAAACATAATTATCAAGATCTCAAAAATAATTTTTTTCTTTATCTGAGATAAAACAACATTCGAAATTTTCTTACACAGCGTTGTTTTCTTAGTACGTCAGAATGTATGTTACTAACTAAAGCACAATACGCTAGTATCGGTAGGTATTACTTTTACCAAGACGAGTATTCAAGTTTTGTTTATGAAAAAATTCTTGTGTGCTAATCTTCTCAAACTGCCATAAGATTCGACTTTGGAAAGTCGCCCAAAATGAATTCACGCAGTTCACTCCGTTGCCAAACTGAAAATATTTTCATGCCGGTAGGCTAGGTTTTAACTCTATACAAACATTCAAGAACCTCTGAAGAACCTAAAAGATCTCTAATTCGAAAGTCTGGAGAGATTAGGTGTCGCAGAGCGCCCGGGAGAGTCGTAAAAACGACTCATTGTGTGTAATTATGTGTGTTAATGCAGGGTTACCGGCGGTGTGGATAATCGAGAAAGTCAGGGAATTTGCAGAAAAAGTCAGAGAATTCGCGGGAAAAGTCAGGGAATTTCTGACGTATCTACTAATCACTAAAACATATCACCGATCTTCCAACTGTTCACCCTTTCTGGTCATTTTTAAGACTTGCCATCTTGAATTCAGCTACTGAACGCCTTTTTCCATAATTTAATCTCCAAATGAAAAAATGTTGTCCAAAGTTTAGCGAAAGTCAGCATATTGAAAGAAAGTGGAAATTTTGTTCAAACGTTAGGAAAAGTCAGGAAATCAGAAAATTTTGGAGTCAGAGAAAAAGAAAAATAGTCAGGAAAAAGTCGGGGACTTTGAAGATAAAGAAATTATGGCAACCCTGAACTGTGTCTTTAAAGGAAAGGCCTCTGGTCAACCACTTTCATGATTAACCTATGAAAAACCAATAAATGAGAGGACTTAACACACTTATTCTAATTAGTTTCGTTGTTTGTAAAAGCTTTAAAGATTTACAAGCAGCCTATTGTGAAAAGCAGCCCGCACCGGGCGGCTGCCCTGGGCCAAAATACAGGGAGAGGGGGCGTAATATTGGGTCTGACAGTATCTCGGATAGGACAGAAGCAAACGGAAGTCGCATTTCCCCGTTGAACTATTCGCAAATTTTTCACTCTCCACTTGAGAATGTAGCTCGGGCTGCCAGCCAAAACTCTAATTTTATGAGAAAACTCTAGAACGGTGGAACGGATCCGTCATCAATTCAATGTATGAATGCTGATTAAGTGTGGAAGTAGTGGTTTTACGTGCTCTCTTTTGATCACGCATCCTTGAACAGCTACTTAAACCCTAAATGTTTTGAAATGAAGGATCATCATCTTCTCTGTATAAATTTTTTAAGGTTTAAAAAGTTAAAAAAATAGGTTAAAAATAACTCATTTGCGACGTTTTTCCTTTATCGCAGACGCGTCGCGAGCAGGCGGCCCAGCATCGTGCGACTCAAATGTTTTCAGTCGCACCGTCGCAGGTCGTCTGCCCTATACACGCGTCTGTAATAAACCATAACGTGTCGCAAGTAAGTTGTTTTTAACCCGTTTTTTTTAAAATTTTTAAAACTTAAATGTGACTGCCTGCAAGGAGAAAATATAGTTACTGTTGAAAAACTCGTATCTTAGGGACAGAATACCAGTGCTGAAAGAAGTGGATTGCCAGTAATATTTTGCTACAAATCCCCTAACATTTCTAACCAGATCGAAGTTATGACGGTTTGTAATCAGCATTTCTCAAAACTTATTTTTAGCTTTAAAATAAGGCTATCTAAAAAAGCTACTGTTTCCAAGGAGGTCCGAGGAAAATTGTCGGACGATATCGCTAATTTACGCTCTCGACTCGTCGTCTAATAGCGCGGTGAAAGCTCGTGAGCTTCATGTTTTGCATATACAACGCGGATCTTCATCGTCAAGCTGGAATAGTCGTATCCATGCTGCATAGGCGGCGCACAGTGGATCGAGTCAAGTAGAGAAGTCGGACACGAAATTTTTGACTAAAACGGCAAATTTTTTTGGTTTATTTTGTCATATCTAAAATTTCAAGGGGTGCTTTAAAAAGAAAATTTTACGAGAAAACCAATGAAACCACTTTTAGAGCCTCAAAGTTTTGTAAAAACGGAGTTATAAGCGTTTAAAGTTTCCAAATTATGTCCGACCTCCCCTCTTGACTCGATCCACTGTGCGGCGCGCCGTCTCAGTTCATTTGTGCAGTGGCGTGGCGTGCTTTGCGACACATCGATTGATCTGCAATTGAAACCTATGGGAAAGGATCGATAAACAGGGTGTTCGCAACGAACACCTTAATGATCGATCATTTACCATTGCTTCAAATGGGAAAACATCGATAACGGATCATCCACACCTCGCAACTGCATTTGTGGGTTCATCTCCATGGCAAAAACAGAGAAACTCTGATTTATTTGGACTTATTTCTGGCAAACGGAACTGTAGAGGAAGGGGAAAGATGGGGTCTGCTCCAGAAAGGTGGATAAGGAACAGTGTTAAAGTGGGCGGGTATCTTTGGAGAAATGGAAAAACGGGAATTCACATTGTGTCGAACGGCACTATGTGCATTTTGACGTGAGCCCTGTTACGGATGTATTCTTAAGGGTCTCGGGGCGGTTATAGGACATTTCGTCGACAAGTTTTTGTCCGCGCACCTGTTTTTCTAGAAGTTTACGTCCACGCGTTTTTTCAGCAGGAGAGATATGGGGTGGAGCGGCGCGGCGCGGCGGGCGACCAGCGCGTAACGCGCATTGGCGCCTACAAACCTAAGGGGATACTTCACGAATTGCGTAATGCGTGAAGTATCCCCTTAGGTTTGTAGGCGTCTGTCAGTGCATGTTTCACGCACGACGCTGGCAGCACGCCGCGCCGCGCCGCTCCGCTCTGTGTTTTGCTCTAATTTTTAAACTCGCGGAGGCAGCGTTTTTCAACTCATGATTTTAACATTTTTGCACAATCTGCATGGATTATTCTCAAAAATATGCTTAACTCAATTTTTTCGAAAATGTGGGTTGGTTTCTCTCTGATGAATTCGGTCAAATTCTCATTTATTCTTACGGCCCTCGACCAACGAGCACTCCCCTTCTTTCCCGCATGTCTCTGGTTTCGTTTGACAGAAATACGTCCATTTATATTTTCATTGTGATAAAAAAAACGACGATATGCTTATCGAAGAAGCGCACTCTATCGCTTCATTTTGTATCAAAAATCTCTTTCAACTTTCCATCTTTTGGAACATAGGTGCTCTGGTTGCTGTCAAGGGTCCTCAACTAATAAAATAGAAAGTGGGATTAGATTTATTTTAATCCTTAGATACGTACGTCGCTCGACATTGATGGTTCTCTTGTAGGTGTTGCCTTTGAGATCAGTGGCGATGACGTCGACTTTAGTGTCGCAGCAGCTGGCCGAGTAGTGGAGATAGACGTTGTCTCGCGTCCCTGCGACAAAGTCCCCGCGGTACTGCAGGCCCAATGGAAACGAGGAAACTCTTAACAAACCTAGTGGAGGATCAATCAAAAGTAGTTTCATGTTAAAGTGAAAGGCTCTTCAAATGGAGCAGGACCTTATTTGCAAGAAATAATTTTGTCTCTTTCCCCCTTACCAACACTCTTTGAATCCTCGGTAAAGTTCCAAAAGCGCATAAGTGCAAAGGAAGTTTTGCGCTTTTGAGGTAGTGAAAGCAGAGAGTCTTTAGCGTGAATAATTGCCTTCGAAACTGGAGGAAGAGACGAGAGGAGCTCGATTATGTCAGAAATCTGATTGTAACGTAACAATATTTTGTAATTACGAGTTGTCAACTATAGTCTCTGTCCAAAAAACAAACGAGCACAAAGTTTATAAAATATGTTGTGACGGTTTTTAAAGCGCAAATACCTAATTAACAAACAAGCTTGGACGGAACGTTTTCTTGAATTTTTTCACGCCTAAACTAAGATTTGATGCTAGAAGCACTAGGCTAACTTCCTTGAAATATTTTGTCATCAGATAATTTGCATTGTTTGACAACCTGGTCTACCGGTGCTCCGCACTCTACATTTCAGGAAAGCAATGTCGTAATACATTCAAACAATCAAATAAGGATTTTTTGGGGAAAATTGACAATGTCACGATAAAAATTAGTAATATTTTACACAATCGAGACAATAGATACCGTTGGAATTAATTTAAGGCGTTAGAGAACGAGTAAAGCGCCCTCCTTTAGTATCGCATACGTTTGACACTAAACGAGTTTCATTTTAACTCCCGGATGCAACTATTCGAGCCCTGCGGATGTCCGTGTTGCATACGCTTAAAAGTGAAGGCGTCTTGACTTTTTCAGTTCTCATCGCTTCATCTGCAGCACGCCGCTGGCGGACTGTACCCTGCGGCTCCAAAATGACAGAGCACCCCCAATTCTTCGTTTTATAACGGAGGCATCTTAGGCACGAATAGTTGCACACGAGTGTAGAATGTGAGTATATATTGTGCTTCAGTGTTGACATTGCAATGTGCATGATTTGTAGAGCAACCATTTGAGTCTCAAACAGAGGTGCACGATTTTTACGACCGAACAACCGATCCGGTCGCGATAAAGATGTAGGATACAGGATTTTTGAAATGTGAAGGCACCTGAAAAGAGGGAAGGAATGTGCGAAAGCAGCGCTATACTTTTTGTGAATGAAATATATTAAACGCGATTCTTTCTGAGGGAAACTGCATTACCTTTCGTGTGTTTTATGCAGAGAATAGTGAAGAAAGAGAATATTAAAGCGCGTAGTCTCATGAAGACAGCAGTTTGAAAGCAGCCTCAAAATATATGAAGGTTACCTTAAGAAATATGGAGGCAAAAAACGTTCTGTACCTTTGGCTTCAAAAAAGATGTCTTTGTAGGATAACAAAGACTTGAAGACGCTCTGTCATTTTAGGTCCTCGCAGTGCAGTCCACCGCATCGGCGGTGCGCGGCGCGCTGCGGGTGAAGCGAAGAATACCCGAAAAGTCAAAACGCCTTCTTTTCCGTGCGTATGCAACACGGACATCCGTAGAGCTCAAATAGTTGCATCCAGGCGTTATGATGAAATTCGCTCCGTGTCCGACGCATGCAATACTAACGGAGGGCGCTTTGTCTGTCTCTTTTGCACATTAACATAATTCCCGCGTTGTGAACCGTGCTGCTTTTGTAAATTGCTATTGATTTTTATCACAACTTTGTCAATTTCCTGCAATATGCACCAATTGTTATAATATATATCAAAGTCGCCGGTCCTCAGAATCTCGAACAGTTAGGCACCTAAGCATAATCTGTACATTACTCCTAAACCTACTTCGGCTAGTCGCCTTTTCTTTTGCTTTTTTTCCTTTCGGAAAATTACTGCTGACATTTAAGAACGAAATTTTGGAAAAACGATCCTGATAAATCGTTCGGAATGTCGAAAAAGACTTATGACCGTCTCTCAAAGAATGGAATGTGGTAAGAGACCTGTAACATCGTTGGGTGGAGTACACTTTTTTGCCTTTGACCCCAAACTGAGGAAATTTTAATTCTTTTTTAATTATTACACGAGTGAGTTCCTACCTGACTCCGTGTCACTAACTGTGATGTCGGCCCCCCATACGGCCGTACTGCAAGTTTGGGGCGTCCATGCGTCCCTGCAGTCTCCGTTGTAGCTGTAGTCGATGTCTGGACCAGTCGTGTCGGATACCTGTGAATCAATCGATCGATTTATCAGCCAATACATCAATCAATCAACTAATTTATCATTTAATCAATAGGATTTCATTTTGCATCAAGAAACTACTATATCTGGCTCATTCATAAAAGCTCTGATCTGTGTAAGGAAACTAATAACACTAATATTGTTTCTAGAATGAGCTAAACATATAGTGATTCCTTATCGCAATACTTAAGTAGTCCAATTAATTGATCTATTCCGCACCTTAACACACGAACAAGAATAATGCAATAAAATATTAATGTTCTGCGTGCACTTTGTCATCTTTTACTTCTGTTTTTGTACTCACGTTTTGAATCTCTAACCGAGGATGACTTTTCCGGAAAAAATCGGCCGACTTGAACTTGTATTATCTTCGTAAGTCTGCTCCTTTTCAGAAATTATACTCGTAGGTCTATCTGTCGAAAATAATCATTGCACTATCTTTCTTTTTCTCTCTTTCGCACAGTCTGTCCTGTATTCCAAGAAAGTGATTTTTGAATATTGTAGTCGAAACCACCTAGCTAAATTTTTAGTCTTTTTTTCATATAATGTTGACTTAATTGTGCAGAATATGATAGCTGAGTTCCCTGAACTCGCTCTTAAAATAACAATCTTTCATAGGCAATTAAAAATCAGAGGGCGTGCGCATGTCGCAATTCCTTTTGGGATGAGAAACAGGTCGTAAAAATAACACATTTGCTGTGAATTTTTTTATACTCGTTGTTAAGTGATCAGTTCTATCTTGAGATTAAGCACTGCAGTTGAAGGCAAATATCGGAACCAAATGAATTTGAAAGCATGTAATCGGTTACCCTCTTGAAGATAGTGCCCAGGCCAGACTCGCTGTCTGTGAATGTTAGTTGCAAATTCAGTTTGGTACTTTCGTGCAACGAGCAACGCACAGTGAGTAAAATATTTAATCATCTTTTTTTAAACTGTCGCATCGTTTTTTGACCGATTTTTCTCTTATTTTTTTAGCACGTATTCGAGGAAAAACGTGTTGTTTTGCCCCATTTTTTCATGACGTTAAAGTCTGATAAGTCACTTTCGGCTCTACAACAGTTTTGATTCGTCGCTAGCTTCAACTTGTCTATTTTTAAATGACGAGCCTTCGTTACTTCTAAGTCCATTTGTATCGCCTTTGGTGAAGATTACACGGACTGACAGATATAGAGTCGGCTCAATTTTCAATAGAAGATTAAGATCCCTAGTTCCAAAAATCCCCATTCCACCATTCCCCATCTGAATTATAATTCTGATTCAATAGAATCAGAATTATAATTCAGACCATGAGAAATTAAGCGTATGAGGTATACGAGAAATTTAGAATGTTTGAGGTACTTGCAGGCCCGCCACATCCCATCTCGGGCCCTGGTACCAATTTTCTGGCCCGGGCCCCTAGCACAGGGGGGGGTCCGGGGGGCCTCCCCCGGGAAATTTTTGAAATTTTAAATCTATTTGGACGCATTATGAAGCTCTTATGATGGAGATATTCCATCAATTTCTGCAGAATAATTACGCCTTTTTGTTTACTTTCAGCACCAAAAACTTTCGAATTGTTGCATTCAAAACATCTATAATTTTTTTTTTGAGGGGGCAGATGATAATTCTCAATTCTATGGGGAGCCGGGCCCCCCTGGACTCCCCTTTCGTACGTCTATGGCAAGGAAGTTAAGCCATTGAAGTCGAGGATGCCCAGAAAGGAGCCTCTTAGCATCCGACAACGGAAGAAAATGAAACACAGTTACTAAAAATATCATTCTACATATACTCAAAATCTTGAAAATCTCTAAAAAAGTAAGAAAAATTTTATAGTGCCCTAGCGTGTTTTTGAAACTTTATTCACCTTTTGCGGAATTTTTTCACTTTCCCCTACGAGACAAGGGTTACACATGAATTCGTAGTGGTTTGTCACCTGCGTCACGGGCCCCTCCAGGGCCCGGGCCCCGGTACCAAGGACCCAGTATCCCCCCCCCCTTGTGGCGGGCCTGGGTACTTGTCATATCCTCAGTAACAAAAACATAGACAAAATAATTTGGCGCGGTAAACCACGTGGCCCAAAACTTTTGGCGGAAAACATCTTCAACTCACATTCTCATTCATTAGATAATGAGATCATTAAACTTTGACACTTGAAATTAGTCGTACGCCTCGCTGTGAATATCGAGCTAAAGTAGAAGTTTGATAGGATCTTACCGGTTCTCCAATACGGAAGATAGCTTTTCGACCCACAGTTTCGACCGATCCCAGGTGTGCTATGAAAGTTATGAGGTCCACCTCCGGTGCACCCATCCTAGTTTCAACCATAACCGTGACTATCTCAGTCCGCAGGGACTCAATCCGTCTCCTAAAAAATAGTACCGAAAGAAATTTTGCAGTTCTTAAACTTAGTACCAAATGAAGACTAAGGAATCAAAATACCTGTATTAAAAAATAATATTCTCTTTTTTGTACAGTTGCATACATCACAAGTTTAGTACAAGTTTCGGGCTGCATTCATACATGGATACAATTGAAATCACCGTACCATGCAAATTCTTGTTATGGGGAAAAGTGTTTTGAAATCGTCGTCAGGATTTCTTGTAGAATCAAGAGTAAAATCGCTCGAATCGATGAAGCATCTACTTGACATAAGCTCCACTCATCTTGGTGGAAGCATCGTTTCCTCTTGATGCAAGAGAAATCTCTTCTTGAAGGCAAATTCAAGAAAATTTTTGTACTTAGTGAGGCACTTTTTTTCCATGTTAACTGGATACTGAATTCTTGTGAGTCACGCATATCTTAACGCTCCCCATATAAAAAATTACTATACGTCGCGTTGAACTTCGGTGCGAATATTTAAACATTATGAAACAGATTTGATCCTTTCATACCTCTCTGTTATGCTCGTGGTGATTTTTGCACGATTTTACTGCTAACGCGTACGCAGATGGTTCTATCTATGTAGACAGACTCATTTACTCGTGTGGTGGTAGCCGATCATCAGTACCATCCAATGGAGGGGTGAGCGCAAGACGCAGTGCTCCCGCTGGATGATGATTGGCTACCACCACAGTAGACTGCAGCAGAAGCCAATCACCATCCAGTAGGAACGGTGCGTATTGCGCTCACACCTCATAAGCCTGTTCCAGGCGTTCAAACTGGAGGTTCAATCTGGGGCATCGATGCGGGTGTTGACTGTTGAAGTGTTGAACTTCAAAGGTCCGCGGGCTGATGACCTATCAATCGAAACTCCGAAAACAACAATCACCAAAACATTCGGCTTTACCTCTTTTTTTTTGTCATAAATGTGAAAATTGTGCCGAATCTTACTGTTTTTATAAATGTTCAACAGTCATCAGACCCATCGATGCCCCCAGACTGAACTCCAGTTTGAGAGTCTGGAACGGGCTATTAGAAACCACTATTTTACGTCATATTGTGGCACGAGTCAATGGAAGAGTTTGGATTTGATGTAAGAACCTTGAACTTTATCGTTATCTATTAGAAATATAAATGTCTGTAAGAGGTTTCAACATTGGTTTTCTCGTGAAATGTCCTGTAGAATCACACCTTAAAATGTATAACTTATCGCAATATACATCAAAATTTGCAGTTTCAGAAAAAAATATAGTGTCGGACTCTCCCAATTGCTCGCTCTATAGTGTATCAGTGCAATTCATCATTAAAACCACTCACTGGATTGGTTGGATGCCTCTGATGAGATTGTGCCTGTCCTGGACATTGAAAGTGAAGAGAACGGGGATGTTAAGATTGTTGGTGACGTCGAAGTAAACGTTCACCATTGTACCCGGAGGCGCCACCAAAGTTGACTGCGGGTTCACCTGTACTGTTGCGTGCTCCAACATCTTCACTGAAATCACGAGACGATCTCTCATTATTCGAGTTCAATTTCATTTCCAGCAGGACTGTCAGACAAGTATAGTCAATTTCCGATATCAGAATTGAAGGGGATTTCGGTTCAATGAATTCCTGCTTTAATTGCGCGACCGACACCGAACTCGTTCTGGTTCAAGTACGTCGAAGTCATTCCAACTTTGATGATTTTTTATTTCATCGGAATAATACTACAAAAACCAGATCTTGTTCTAGACAGTAATTAAGTAGAAAGCTTTGTATCCAATTTTAAGAAGTTTACTCATAGCTTGATTCAAAAATCGAAGCTTCTACGTGTACTTTTTGTGATTTTGGTGCACAAAATTAGTTTACGGTTTTTACAGCAAAAATGATTTTCTTGAAGAGCCTATTTTTTAACAGTACACACAGGCAGTTTTAAACACAAGCGAATTCCTTACAGCAACCGCCAAAGAAATACGTAATTTGAGGAATAAAACTACTCTTGAAGCACATTCTCTCCAAAAAGCAGTGCAAGTTGGGAGGGGGCGGAGATTGGCTAAGCTTTACATGTGATTCNGGGGGGGGGGGGGGGGGGTCTTAAAGTCAGGAGGTCATAAAAAAGCTGAAAATTCGTTAAGCAATATTTGAACGCCCATTTGAAACTAATTGCATAATGTTCTACTATCATTGACAACTTTTGGACGTAAAAATGAAAAACAAATTGAAGAATACCAATTTAACTGCTCACGTCAAAGCGTTTCAAGAACTTTCAAGAAACGAAGGATTTTGATGAAGTTCCCTAGAAAAACAGCATGTGACATTGAAATGATAATTTTTACATTATCTCAAATCGTAGGAATGATTTTTGTGTAAATTTTTCCCCCTCTTCTCCCGTTCAACGATGCAACCTCGGTTGTCTACCTTGAACCAGGTTTGCAGGCCGCGATTCGCAAACATTTCGCCCGCTCGCCATTTTGAGTCTTTCGGGTTATTTCGCGTAAAATCAATAACCCAGCGTGGTTCAAGCGATAACGTTAATTGCACAATCGCGAATCTTCGTTAGCGGATAGCGCCGGTGTCTTGCGACCGAATTTCACGCTACTCTCCAAGCACTGCGCCCTGTTTTTCCCCCGAAATTTTGGCAACGCCCTCAGCTAGCGCACGCTCCAGACAACGCTCTCCTCTGTTTACTATTGCACTTACGTCTTCTAAGTTGTAATCAGAGTCTCATTAACACTATTCATGTACGTTCGCGCGCACTAAGTAACTGGTTGCTATCCTGCAGTCGGACCTCGGAATCAGAGCTTAAGTGCATTTTTTGCAAATTGCATGCACCTAAATAAATTAGTCGTGTACTCCGTATAGTGATATATTTTTTTCGTATTTGCTTTTATCTGCGTAGAGGTTTTCTCCCGCCTCTACCTTTTACTTTCTTATTTTTTCTAGCGCTAGGAGTCCTGAATCTGTATCCGTAGTAAACCCTTGAATAGTTCCACTTCAAAAGATCGATTCAACAAGTAGTGACCTTTTTATGCAATAGCTTTAAAATGGCCAATGATGGAGCTCTAATTTTTTATTGATTTGAAGTTAACTGAAAAATAATCTCAAACATCGGTATAAATGGTTTCCGAGCGATTAAGATTGAAAAATTGAATAGAAAAAGGTGAATCCCTGAAAATTCAGATTGAAAATGAGTCAAAAGAAGAGGTGCGTCCTGCACGTCTACCTTTCAAATGGTCAGCGATAGAGCTCTGATTTTGATCAATCCAAAAATAGACACAAAAATACATTTTTTATGGGTGAAAAATTGGACGGGAAAATACATCCCTGCGATTTCGGTTCGAAAATGTGTAGATAGAAGGGGCAAGTGCAAATGCACCCTTTTCAGTAAAATCGGTAGTCTAAGGACCATTTGGACCGCTTTTGTTGAGATTCAGAGTTTTCTCCGCAGATTGGCATCACTGGTCCAAGTTGCTCCTTAAGCTCCGTACCTTTTTGTTACGCAACGAGCTTATTTTTCTATATTTTCACATACGATGTCCATAAAATAAGTTGAATCCGAAGGCAGGTTACTGAACGGTGTACAGTTTTATTGCCGTTATCAGTTCACGCCTTCGGAAGCTCTATCTCAAAGACCTGCGTTTTTATGGATTCCGTTTAATTGCACTCTAATTCCCATGACTACCGCCTTCCCGGACGCACGACCGACAGTCGGTTACCGTGCCGCCCAAAGTTCAAGCCGTGACTCACTTGTGAATATGAGCCCTCCATTTTGCATTCCTTCGGAAGTATTATAATTAGTATTGTTTCGTTGAAAATTACATCGTATTCGACGTCATGACCTGACAGCTTCTCTGGTAAGGTCATGTCAAATGAATGACGGAAGAAAAGCTGCTGAAGAAGATGCTTGATTGGGCTCCTCCTGGGAGGAGACGAAGGGGACGCCCAGTGAAAGGGTGGCGACAAGGGTTTCAGAAGAAATGACGTACTAATCAAAACCATAAAAAAGTTTGGATTAAAACTGGATATATTATGCTCCAAATCGTTGGCAAAGGAGGGAATTTGTTGGTTCCATTTCTACAGCCCCCCCCCCCACACCTAAACAAAAGAGTATGTCATAATTTTGTGCTATTTTGTGTCGCAAATTAAATATTTTGTATCTTTCCTTTTGTTGACTCTATTGGCCATACTTTATCAAATTTTGTAAAAACTTTTTCTTGCTGATTTTTCTAAAACAACAACAATTAACAACAAGTATCAACAGTATCAACAACAATTTTAGAAAAATCGATGAGAAAAAGTTTTCACAAAATTTGATAAATATTTTGTGCTGCAAAATCACGGAGGGAAACGCTTTCAAAATGGGGGGGGGGGCTGTAGAAAGAGCAGCCGCCCCCTCCCCCCACTTTCAGAGGCGGATCCAACAATTTGGCAACACCGGATTGCCTCCATTTAAACCTATGCTAAATAATCGATTTTTGTCGGAGCACTTGGCCCCTCCAAGAATCGATACATTTCCATAGATTTAAATGGAGAAAAGAGAACGTTGCCTTTTTGCTGGATCCGCCAATGCCCACTTTAGAATTTCCGGAAAAAGAAAAAAAATGAAACGCAAGAAAATGTGTTACTTCGCTGAATTTCTTTGTTTTTCTTGTGGTCTTCATTTGGAGTCCCTAAGCATCCCACAATACAGTTAAATGGGGCAACTCACCAGGATTGAGGCCTAAATTCTGTCGGGTACCGTTGAGGTCGAAAACGACGTCCTGCTTCCGTTGCATTCCGTTCTGATTGTTGACGATGCGGCTGACGAGCTTGCTTCCTGGCGCCCCTTTCACGTCCTCCTCCATCAGCTCCACGGATTCAGAGTCTTTCTTCTTGTCCACTGCTTTGACCTTTTTCCCTCCGTCGCCCGAGCCTCCATCTACGCATAATATTAGACCAAAAATTACCCAAATTTTATCATGACGTATCATTACGAAATCAGTAAATATTAGAGTCCAAAATTCTGCCTGAGAAAATGGCTAATTCTACATTAATCTGCTATCGATAGCAGGATTGCTGGCGGTCTTGAAAACCGGGAAAGTTAGGGAATTCGCGATGACCGGGAAAAGCCAGGGAAAGGTGGGGAATTTATGGGAGAAGTCAGGGAATGGAGATGTTGCATGTGTGAGGAATTTGCGATTTGACTGTTGATTCTTATGTAAAAGTTCGCGAGAAACATGATGATGCCACTGGTTTTCTCTGAAATCAACTCCCAAGCGCAAAAAAATCTCTCAAAGTGAGGCCAAAATGGAGGGGATGTCCCACCCTACCCTGAGAGTCCACGTCTACATCAAGACAAACTTTCCATGCAAAGATAGGGAGCAAATACATTGACAAGACTGCCTTTTTATTTGGGGACTCCAAAACTGAAAACACGGCAACCTTGCTACTGTATTTGCTCCCTATCTTTGCATGGAGAGTTTTTCTTGATGTAGAAGTGGACTCTCAGGGTAGGGTGGGATATCCCCTCCATTTTGGCCTCACTTTGAGAGTTTTTTTTGCGCTTGGGAGTTGATTTCAGAGAAAACCAGTGGGACCATCGTGTTTCTCGCGAACTTTTACTTCAGTAACAGCAGTCAAATCGCAAATCCCTCACACATGCAACATCTCCATTTCTGGCCAAATCTACTCATCAAAGTCTAGCGAAATTCGGCGTATTAATAAATGTGTACGGAAATTTTGTTCTAAGGTTAGGGAAAGTCAGGGAATTTGAACATTTTGGATTTAGGGAAAGGCAAAAAAAATCAGGAGAAATCCGGGAATCTGAAGATGAAGAATTATGGCAACCCCGAAAAAATCATCTTTGCAAGCAAATCCCTGTATGGGTTTGATCTATGAACTCAAAATGAAGTAAAATAATGACCACCGTAAAATTTAATAATTGATGGACCTAACTGCAGCTGAAAGTATCTTAAAAACAGCTTTACTGTATATAACGTCGTTTAACGTCTGCTCATGTTTCATTTTTTATGAACAGGATGTAAGCAGAATTTTTTTTTTGAATTTTTGTGAGCGTGTACTTTACAATGTGGAAAAAATTCATACAAAGTTTTGAGATAGTCTGTTGTTTAGTTTTTCGTTTAAAATATGAAACCCTAAAGGGAATTAGGCACCGTTGAGTGCAGTTTGTTTAAATCTGTTCAATTATGGTAAAGTAAATCATAAAATCGTACACTATGTTCAAAATCATTATGGCGAACAGCCTCCCACAGACCAGTTTAGGGGCCACATCCTTCGATTTATTCGATGACTGCAAATGAAACATTAAACAAAACAAGGCCTTAATCTTTAAAACTAAGTACTTTATCAGCGTGTTTTAATTTTGCCTCAATTTTGAAGCGCGTCAAAATTCAAACGAGCCAATTGCATGAAAAGGAAAGTTCAATGGATACAGATACGTATCCTCGACACTTTTTCTTTTTTTAATGTATTTACCCCTAAAAAAAAGAAATTTTTAGTGCAACTTGTTCTTTTAGATCACCTCACCCTCTCTGAGTTCATACTAACGAAATTATTACTCATGAAATCGAACTTCAAAAATTGCAAAATTTTACGAAAGGGGTAACTGGGTCAGTCCGTCGAGAAATGTGTCCCCTGGATTTTCCGTAGATTTTATGATTCACAGGCAGTAGTTCTTCCCTCGAAACGACACGCAGTCCGATTCTATCTTATATTTTTCACCCATTTTATCAAGAACAAAGACTTTAAGAAGAAATTATGACTGGCGAACAAAAAGAGATCATTGAGGTGCACTTTTACAGTGGTGTCGAGTTTTGCGGAATGTTCGATAGGTGTAAGCGAAGACCTAAAGTTGACTCAATTGTCTAATCAATCTCAGTTTTCGTCAATGACGATTCTAGGGTTCGTACCGCCCGATGGGCAAATCTTTGTAATGGTGACTCTTTAATAAATTCTTTGCGGTATGTTTCCGATTATTCAAAGTTGGGTCCTCCAATTTGAGAGGGCCGGAAAGTTCCGTCAAATTGTTGGCTGTATTAGCGTCGCAAGCACCACAGCACGAAATTAAGTAAAACTACATTTTTATTTTGAAGTCAAGACCTAAATTGCAACTAGAAATATCAGGCGTTTCGAATATTTTTCGAAAAATTTATGGCCACCTTTCAGCCGGTTCTACTGATTTTAATCGTTCGGCAGTTGGGCCTTTACTGAACGGTGCCAACAAGTTTTTCCCCAAAAATGTTTACTTGAATGGCCCTTTAACATGTCTGTAACTTTGCTAATCAACTCCGTCCAGCTCTCTAAGTATTCTCCGTAAATCAGATTGCTAAATAAATAAATAGAAAAATTGCTTCGACGCTTTCAATTTTTCGTGATGTTCAGTCTTTCCAGCGAGAGAATCTTCGTATTATGCCTTCTATTATTCTCGTAATTTTACTTCGGCGCATACAATATTTCCCCGTTTGACACAAAAAAGTTCATGCTGTGTAGTCTAAATTTGAAGTGGTTAACGATGAAGGAAGATCAATCCGCTTCATTTACTTCAGTCTAAGGACTTTAATTTTACCGAATTTGATCAGAACAAAAACAAAATGACTAAACTCTTTCGGTTTTTCTAAAATCGGGTTTTACTGCTTCCCCGTGACGTAGCGCCAATAGTGTCTACAGCGACTGACCTTTGCAACGCGACTTTGATAACAGCGCCTGGATGCAACTATTCGTGTTCAAAGGATTCCATGTTGCATAAGCACACATTTGAAGGAGCTCTGGGTTTCCTTGCCCTTCTCAGTATCGCGTATCACAGTATTATTGTCAATGTTCAGCATTAGCTGGCCAGGCGGGCCCAATGTTCAGTGCGTCTAACTCTAGTCTAAAAGGCCCCGGTTTCGAATTCCTGTGGCGGCGACAAATTTTTCAGGAACGGACGATTGGATCCGCAGAAACGGGCTCCACTCGGCCTCAATCCCTGAAAACTTGAAAGTCTGGAGCATGGATGTGAACTAATCAAATGCGGTGGCTGCATTATGTCTAGCGACTATAAGGCCAAAGTTAAATCAAACTTGGGAGGGCTTCGAGCTCTTCATAAAAAAAATTTTAAAAAATTCAAAAAAAAAAAGCGTTAGTATTTAACCACCAAAACACGATTCTTTGACCAGCTTATTTGACCTATCGCGATTTTTGTTTTCCTTTTTTATTTCCTTTTTTTTGTGGAATCTAATTCGTTGTAAATACAACAAATGTCTCTAAATGTTGCAGCAGGGCGTCATCACCTGGGCGCTCGCTCAAAGGCTGGCCAAAGTCCACGCCGACGGGTGAATCACGAGCATTTCGCTCCGATCCAATCCAACTATTTTATCGTTGGCCCGCCGATTCTGCCGGTAGTACGCTCTCATACATTACGCATGATACATTGACGAAATTATCCGATTGAAAGTCGCCAGTCGCTATTTGCATTCAGTTCGACGTGTTGCAATTTGACCATCGTCACTTCGATTTCAACTTGTTCGGTTCTTCCGTGAGAGTTTGTAATTTTAGGTACGAATCTGTCGCGAGTGTCGTGTTTTATTGTAGTGCTCCGTCTCACGGACCTAACTCAGAGGTATTTAAATTTTGACTGCAATATTGAGCTTGATTGTTCCTGTAACTGAATTCTTTATGATTTCACTGCAATAAAAACATTTAAAATTACACTGAAATAGGAGGTGAGGTTAGTCCTTCGGTGTCATTTGAAATTTTGAGGACAAACGGAAACTAAGATATTAGAAGAGCTGACATTTTTAATTATCCATCCATTACGCATGTATTCAAGGTTAAGAGTCATTGTGGAATCCATTTATGTGGAGTCTACTGTATAAACAATTTGATAGGTTTTTCTGACCCGGGAAAGTCAGAAAATTTTACTCCGCCATAACGATTTAGGGGTGGTTGGCATTAAACCTCGGAATCTCCTAAAGCAATCCCGTTCAATTTATATTTTTCCATCCCGAAAGTAATCGTGTGAAATGACTTTTTATAATCCTTTTTCATGCTGAAGCACGTGTTAATGATTTTTAGGGGGAAAAGGATGTTACTGACTCGAGAATTTAAAAAATCCAAGAGAGTCTGTCATTCTGGAAACTTACTATTTAACCAATACCTGGTTTTACTCTTTACTTGGATTATAGTAAGTCTACTTTGTGAGTTTAAAATTCGCCCCCGAGAATGATCAATCCAGAACTTTGTACTGCTTGCCTTGTAAGAAAGCAATACAATCATCCTCTTTAATCAAACTGAAGAATTCTTTAGTCCCTTCTCGTCCTCAAAAGTTACGTGGAAGGCAGAAGTCAGGTGAAAATTAAGATAGTTGAAGTATGTCAAACCTCGTATGTTTTCTTTAAGGAAACTCCGGGTCCCAGAGCGCACGGGTTCACCCTACTCTCAAAGGGTTGACCTAGGCTCTCCATAACATTCTTCACCTTCCCTTCCCAATCATTAGATGCCATTGGTCCACATATGACCACTGATGAAAGTGGGGTAAGGAATAATCTGAATACTACCAGGTAGAAACATGCAGTTTTGTACATTTGCCTCTAATCAGGTACATGTTCGTGAAAATTGAAAAAAATGTGTCTCCTAGAAGAGCAATATCTGCGATTGAGGTGTGTCCGTGTAGATCAGTCGTTTTACGTATACGCAACGGTCAATCTGATTTGACGTGCTAGAGACAGAAAAAAAGTTCCAAGGGAGATCTTGCTCCGTAGGCATCCTGCGATGCAAAATATTTCATGTTTTCTTTTTTCTCTTAAATAGAAAGGAAACATCGTAAAAAAGGAATCCTTTTTCAAAAGTTCAAATTAGGAAACAAGTATTGACACATTCTCCGAAACTGCATCCTCGATCATAATCAATGTGGAAAAGTTCATTAACTCAGGTGTAATGCCGTAACGAGAAAGTTGGAACTTCAATAGATGTTTTCGTCTCGTTTGTTAACGATGCGACTCACTTCCAACTAAGTTCGACGACATTTTTTTTCTACCACGCCTTTTATTTGTGATAGATTACTGAAAAGATAGAAGAAAAACAAAAGAGAGAGAAAAGCCCCGTCTGTTTTTCATACCTACGATTTGCTCAAATGAGAAGATCACTCCTCAGCTAGACGCGTGTTTTGCAAACAATTGATTTATCTATTTTTATCAAAAGATGGAGCGTAATCATCAATTAAGTAATTCCTGTGAGAAAAGCTGTAATCAGCTGAAGAAGAGTGAGAAGATAGCACATTTTTTCCTCTCGAAAAATGCACTTAAAGAAAAATCGTTATCTCCATCAATTTACGCGAAACTGGCTTGAGTCAATTTATTGAAAACACCCAAAGAGTTCACATTATCTCTCTCAAATTTACGCAAAAGCTGAACCAGCAATGAGGCAACTTGTTTCCAATTCGATTCAAATTTTATTCATGACGCGTCATCGTGATGATTTCAAATGGATCGTTAAAAATACATCAACCAGTTCATACCCTTTAGCTTTTGTTTCTTTGTGTTTTTGAGCTATATTATGCCTTTTGGCTCATTTCCATTTTTTCTTCCATCTTATCTATGCTGTTTTTGTCAGTATACACACCAAAACACCCAAATTTGATTATTATTCAGGGCAGTTATGCAGACGTGCTGTTAAGTCATAGGAGAGGGGCGTATTTGTCATTTTGTCAATTTATTGAAATGAAGACTTCTACGCCCTTTGTCACACTATATTTAGACCATTTCGATTTTTAAAATTTTGAAATATGTCGAATAATGTTTCAGAAACATGCGATATACCATGAATGAAGTTATCGCCGTGTCGGTTAATTTCATATGCCAAGGTTTATTCTTTGCGCTGTTTCCCAATTAATTCCAAAATGTTTACAAACCTTTGCGTCTAAATTATCACTGCCAACAGCTGCGCAAACCGCATCTTCGGTTTCTATATTGAAGAAATGCATCGTCCAGTTGAGTACGTAAATAACATGAAGCTGTTTCATTTGTAAAAACATTGCACTTCAAATGTTTAACAATTTCAGAATAACTCAGCTATATTTGGAAGCAAATTTTCAGGACTTTTGCCAAATATAATACTCCAAATCCTTGAATGGAAGCTTGAAGCACCTGCCAGAATGTGGGCTCGAATCTTGGATTTCAAAAATCTAGATACCATTTTTTGTGCATCCATGATTCGCCTATCATTTAGGATTTACGGATTTTTGAGTTGAACTTTTGTGTGCCTAGAAATCATGAATTGTCTTCCAGATGAGGAACATTCGTGTTTTGCGCCAAATTTACATGGAAACGAGCATTTTAGTAAGATTTTAATACCAGCAAAAGCGGGGGTGCCCTGATAAGTTCGCTCCAAACTTCCAAGTTTAGCATTGCAATTTTTCAGCATTAAACAAAATGTATGACATCAACCATGGTCGTACACAGGGTGTCTTTGAGAGGGTGGAGAGGGCTCAATAGTCACCAGAATTTTAGTACCTAGTAGACCTCCATGATGAGTAAATGAGCCCTTGACTCCTCCACAATTTTTTTCTGGCTACGCATATAAAAACAATTAGGTATTTTTACAGTATGGGACGTAATTATTTGACACTTAACTTTACAAATTTGCCAAAATTTTTTTTCTAATCTGATCGCAATCCCTTCTTTCACCGGAATCTTTAAATGCGTGTAGACCGCAGGAATTTTTTCTTAAGGTTGAAGTTTTGTTTCCATGATCATACATTTCTCTTTATGCGTTCAGAGATAAAGAAAAAATCTGAAGTTAGCCGAAAATGACCGTTTAAGAGGGGAAAAATTGGGTTTTAAGGACAAGGCCTCTTATCCCCTTGTCATACTTCAGTGTGCTCTAAATTTAAATGCACTGGGAAAAAAACACATTGGATCGGGAGGCCAGACTCATGAAAACATTGACAAGAAAAAATGCTCTTGATTCAATCAGATTTTTTCTTAAATCAAAACGAAATCCGCTTAAATTAAGAGGCTTGGTTCTTGATTTAAGCCACATTCTGATTGAATCAAGAGTACTTTTTTTGTCGATGTTTTTAAGAGTCTGGACTCTAGATCCAATGTGTTTTTTTTTTTTTTTCCAGTGTGTTCGTATACAGCCGCTGAAAAGTCTCCTCAAATCTATTAACTTATGAGAGGAATACTGGCGGAACGCGCTCACATGGAAATTCATGTGCGCAGGTCACTGACGGTACGTCAATGAGTCTGTTTTGACACGGAATCAGTCGATGCGATTTGCGGTAAAAATCAGCGTCGACGTCGACAAGACGGCATGACGTGAGCGCGCCGAAAAATGGCGCGTGGCGGCGCGGCCGCGGCGTGGCGCGAGGGCTCGAAAGGCTGACGCACCTCGCGCACTGAGGTGAAAAGCCGCGCTTCGTACGTTTATCGTTTGTTGTTGCGTCTCAGCCCAAGCAGCTTTTGCAAGGTGCTAGATCGACGCTGTTTTCGTCGACTTTCCGATAGTTCGCCAAGTTGAAGGTCGCGCTAGTTCCTCCTTCCCGAAAGCTGCGCCTCTCTCGGAAAAAGTTTTATTTAGAGACGTCGCACTACATTTAGAAAGGAGTTCGGTCTTACAAAGAAGGCCGGAAGTAAGGGTCCTAGTCACCTCTAGAAAGATACAAATTTTTATGAAGCAGTTCGAGACAGTGGTAACGGGAGAAAAACAAGGGGAAAAACGGGGAGAGAATGGTTACTTTGAGGTTTGGTCAAAAAGCCTAAAAAAGTCTAAAAAAAGCCTTTGAAAAGCCCTCTAAAAAGGACAGTCAATCTATGAATTCAAATTATCCAAAGTGATTTCTTATTACGTTTATTACGACTCGTCGTTTGTTAAGCACGCATTTGACTTAGTTTTTGCATAAACTTACTCATTTTTGCGGAAGAAACGCTCATTTATAAACATTCATGGTCATTTTGGTTTGATATTGGAATCAGAAGATTGGCGGTGGCATTTTTCGTTTTCAAAGGTTGGCTGTCCTTTCGGGCCCTACGAGATCATATTTTGACATGTCCGTACTCTCCCTACATAGGTACTGTACTTTGCGGTAAATTAGGTCATACAATTAGCCTGGTACATAATGATACTTGCTCCGTATCCATTTTTAAGGGCTTAAAATAATCACTTTAAACTACGTATTTTTTAGTCCAAGTTGGAGTGTAAAACCGCACGTACCTGATATATCTGGCTCGGTCGTGGTGTAACGATAGCTGTCCAGGTCTTCCCTCGAGGGAGCATCGCGGCGTGGGGGTGGTTGCGCAGTTTTTGGGGGGCTCACTTCCCCCGGAAAACGGACGTCAACCCCTAATCCCTCTGTTTCAATCCCTTTGGCCACACACCACAACAGCACCAATACACTTAAAGAAATGCACCACCGAAAATTCATCGTGGTTTGCCACGATTACGAACACACACAGAATATCACGCACTATTTGGGGGTGCACAAAACACGCAAAACGGAAACGTGCTGATCGATCTAGCAGAGGCTGTAAATTGTCCTCCAAAACTTTCTTAAGCAAACTTTAAGACACTGGAAGTTGAAAGCGGTGGTTACACAATTTTCAAGCTGTATAGTATTTTTTTCAAATTATCTAGATTTTCCCCATGAATGTGTAACAAGATTTACTTCAAATAGAGAGTCTTTTGTACAGGATCAGATATGGACTTTTATGAGCGAAAAATTAAAATCGTTGTAAATGGGGTTTCAAGGGCCCTCGAGGGCTGTGTCCGTATTTGAGCGTAAGCAAAAACTCCTAAATGGGTGTTAAAACGATTAAAACAGATCTGGAAAGGGGATGGGTCACTGGACCACTTTCAAGAAGTCGGAGTAATGAGCAATATTATTTTTAAAAAAAAATACGATATTTTGATCAATAGTCTCTCATTTAATTCGAGTAATGTACATATTTATAACAATTGAATATGATAATAACCACAAAAAGAAGAAATTCTGCTGGACAGCAGGGAGAAGGTGATTTTGCATGCACCTAAGCACAAAAAATTATTTCGAAAGCTTTCAAAATAATCAACGCAGCGTTTTGGAGACACCTCTTCGAACCGACTAACGTAAAGAACTTATATGCTGCAGAAAATGACGGAATTGGAATCAATAATTTGTTGATTTTTGTGTGTGGCTGTTAAGGTGCACAGACGTGAAAAAAAAGCACGAAAATGTCTCTTTGGGGCGCGAGGAAAATTCTGTAAATGTACCGATTTCCGGAAAAGGGTGGTGTAAAAAGGGCGAGGGTTCAACTTTAGCGGGGTTTTTTTAAGGGAAGGGGTTGTGTTACGCACTGCCTCGTCGCGGGGGAATGCTCTCGTTTCCTCTGGCGAACTTGGAATGTGGAACGGGACCGGGAGCCTGAGTGCGAGTGCAAACTAGGTGCGATTGTGACGGAACTATTTTTGTTTTTTGTTTGCGGCCCTTTTTCCCGTAATCTCGGTTCGAGGTAGCCGAGGAGCCGCGGCGGTGGTGGCGGGTTAGAGGTGGGCCCGCGGCGGATGTGCGGATGTTGCATCACGCTTTGCCGAGGATTTGTCAGGTGATAACCTAGCGCCATCCTCAGCCCCGCGCCGCGGCTCCAGGAAGCCCGCTATCTCCGCCAGTCGGACGGGGAGAGGTTGGCGACGCCAAGCTCCTCGCCCGCCGCCCGGGGTCACAGATGAGCTCCCAACTCAAATTTTAGAATGGAGATGTTGCATGCGTGAGGGATTTGCGATTTGACCATTGATTCTTATTTTAAAGTTCGCGAGAAACACGATGGTGCCACTGGTTTTCTCTGAAATCATCTCCCAAGCTCAAAAAAAGCTCTCAAAGTGAGGCCAAAATGGAGGGGATATCCCACTCTACCCTGAGAGTCCACCTCTACTTTAAAACAAACTTTTCATTCAAAGATAGGGAGCAAATACGTTGACAGGGCTGCCACTTTATTTGGGGACTCCAAAACTGAAAACACGGCATCACTGCTAATGTATTTGCTCCCTATCTTTGCATGGAGAGTTTGTTTTGATGTAGAAGTGGACTCTCAGGATAGCGTGGGATATCCCCTCCATTTTGGCCTCACTTTGAGAGCTTTTTTTGAGCTTGGGAGATGATTTCAGAGAAAACCAGTGGCACCGTCGTGTTTCTTGCGAAATTTTACATAAGAATCAATGGTTAAATCGCAAATCCCTCACACATGCAACATCTTCATTAAGGGAGCTATTTGGTAGGCCTAAGCACGGGACTCAGCCCCTCTTGGGCTTAGGTTCCTCCTCCAGTACACAGTCAGAACAAGTAACCGATATTTTGTTTTAACTCGGGGGCTATACGCCCGCTGACCTGACCCTCCCTGGAAAAAAAAAACACAATGGATCTTGAATCCATACTCTTAAAAACATCGACAAGAAAAAATACTCTTGATTCGATCAGATTTAAGCTTAAATCAAGAACCAAGTCCCTTAATTTGAGCGGATTTCCCTTTGACTTAAGCTGAAATCTGATTGAATCAAGAGTCCTTTTTCCTGTCAATGTTTTCAAGAGTCTGGACTCTAGATCCAATGTGTTTTTTTTTTCCGGTGCTCATGAAGTAAGTACCCTAGAAATGTCAGGGAATGAGTCAGCTGTGCTGGTCGCAGAATCGTGTTTTGAAGCTTGATTCTTGTGGATCAACTAAAAAAAAAGATCCGTACAAAAAGCAACTCTCTGCGTCCAATATTGACCAAAATATCGGACTTTGAAAAATTCGTTTAATGACCTCATCCTCTGCGGTAGTGGCGCCCTTAGTTTCTCTCACCTTGCTTTCATTGGTTAGGGAAACGCACATTTTCACTAGTTACTCAATGTGAAACTCGGATAAAATTGAAGTGGAAGAAACCAAGGGTGTCACTACCGCGGTAGATGATGTCATAACCCGAATTTTCCAAAGCGCGATATCTTGGTTAGTATTGAACGTAGAAAGTTGCTGCTTATTCTTATTATTTTTAGCTGATCTTCAAGAGTCAAGAACCAAAACATGATTCTGTGACTAGCGCAACTGACCCATTACACACAAAAAACCGGGAAGTTACAGGAGAGAAAATCAGGGAAATGTGACTGTGTGGACTTGGCATTTTTTAAAGTGAAGTGCCTAATTAGGAAACACATCATATTCTTTATGGTAATGGTATAATGACGCAACTTTTCTTCCTGAATTTTTGAGAATTTCGGTGTACGTGGTCAGGGATCCCTCCGGTAAATATATGGAAAATCAGCCGAGTATTCCGATATGTTCTTTTCGGTATTGCATTATAGAAAAGTGAGGAAATTTTAAATTTACTAAACTTGTCGCAAGAATTCTGGGGTCGTAAGTAAGGGGTGCGGAAAGGGCAACTTGACCCGTAGATTTTCCATACCCTTTTGACTGATCGCATTTTAAATGGACAGGAAAGAGAGCGATAACTTTTTTGCTAGCCTTAATTCTGTTAAGTTTCCTGAGCGTTTTTGTTTTAGCCTCTGACTGGAGTCTTCCCAGTGTCATTACCACCAGAGAAAAAGAGGGGAGGGTGTATGCGTGTTCTTTTTATTTCTCCATCGAGCTACCCTTACGATCGTCAGCTTGTTGAAATTACGCTACTTTTGATTTTCGACCGACATAGGTCCAATTTTCGGCAACTGTGCTGAGGGCGCGGTTTCTCATCCTCATGACGTTCTTACGCTGACGCAGCGTGTACTTTGCATACGTTAATCCCAACTGATTCACCCGGCACAACGTCATCGATAGCATCGTGCAGAGCTAACAATGAGTATCGCTTTATTACTCCACGCACCAACCAGAATGTTTGGTCTCTGACGAAACAATTTGTCCGAACTTGGTTTAACGATATCTTAAGTATTCATAGAGCATGGGTAATTTATATGACTCCGCCCCTCTTCCGCCCCACGAACCAGCTCCGGAAGAGGCAGTGTCGTCACTAAAATAGCAGAAATATAAAGAACAAAATCAATCAATAAAGAAGGACCTGATTTCATTGAAAGATTAAAAAGATTCGAAAAAACAAGTAGATATTTGCTAAGATGAAGCTCTGCCATTGGGGAGGTACGAAATTTAACACATCTCCTACTACTCAGTGCAAAATAGACTAATTTTGCTTCATTTCTGAATCCAGGCACTGAAACAGTGACCAACGGCAATATCCATTCGTGATTAATTGTTGATAGACGATGCGCCAATCTCGGGAGGGCGCAGAATTTCAGTCAATAATCGCGAAAACATTTAGATAATTGAAGTTGGTCTTTTTTGACCACGAACTGAATAGAATTTTAAAATGTTAATCATAAATTAACAAAATTTTAAAATTTTATTCATTTTATCGATTGACTTGTATAGACCGCGGAAAAGTTTTAAGGAAAGCGGAAAAGTTTAGACCGCGATATCCATTCGCGTGATTAATTGTTGATAGCCGATGCGCGGAGGGCGCAGAATTTCAGTCAATAATCGCGAAAACATTTAGATAATTGAAGTTGGTCACTTTTGACCACGAGCTGAATAGAATTTTAAAATTTTACTCATAAATTAATAAAATTTTGATAGACGAATAAAATTTTAAAATTTTATTAATTTTATCGATTGACTTGTATAGACCCCGGAAAAGTTGTTTAACATTCTTGACCTTTCACATTTATTCGCAAATCATTTAACTGTCTTCTGTCATTTGACTCAAAAACCCTAACCCAGAATCTCAAATGGTAATATTTGTGAATTTCTTTTGATTTCAGGCTCAACATCTTCAAGCAGTAATCCTCTCTTTTCGGGTGCAAGCAGTCCAGGGGAAACAGATCCTCACAGGAGTTTCTCCCTTCAGTCTCAGCTTCCCTTGAACCCCAATCTACCTCCACCCCCAACCTCGCGTCGGAACCCTGAGCCCTCAGACGCTCCCACTTATTCAGTACCTCTGACTGCTTCCAGCCCTGGACCTCCGCGATATCCACCCTCAAACCTCTACAATCCTGCCAGTGAGTAACTATAATAATCAATTTTATCTATTCTTTTCATTATTTTTTATATTTCATCAAAATTTACCACCAGACCCGACTTTACAATCCTCCCAGCAAGAAGTAGCAGCAATTTGCGCCCCTAATTTTCGAGAGTTACGTGATCTTTTTTTCGCTTCATTCCTATTTTCAAGTATGTAAGTATGTAAGATGGAAAAGCAAAACTTTACAAGTCATTCATCTCAAAATTCACCCTCTCGTTCCCGTAATTTGACAACCCTTTTTGTTGCGGGGGTTAGCGACGCCCCACAATGGATCGAGTCAATTAGTAGGTTGGACACGAAATTGACTAAAACTGCAAATTTTGATGTTTATTTCTTCGTATTTTAAAGTTCAAGGGGTGCTTCTAGAAGAATTTTTCCCGAGAAAACCAATGGAACCACTTAAAGACCTACTTTTATGAGTGTTTAAAGTTTCCAAATTTTGTCCGACTTCTCCTATTGACTCGATCCACTGTGGCGCCTTTAACTCCTCTAAATCTGGCCCTGATTACTATATTGGAGATCAAGAAATCAGCACCACAACATGTGACAGTTACTCTGGTTACACGTTCACCACATCTTAATTAGGAAAGCTCTATGTTCTTAATTCAATTGCTTGACCTCTTTTTTTTGGAACCTAGGTTTCACAGGTTCTTCTCAAGGGCCAACCGTCTTCCAGTCGGCGTCCAGTGCAGACGACGACCTGAGCGGGTACTTCAACAACCTGAAACTGGCCTCCAACCTGACGGCCTCCAAGTCAGTACCATCTGCCGTCTCGAATGCTCAATCGTTTGCCCCTCACCCAACTTCAGCGCTCCCGACTAGTGCCTCCTTCCCCGCCGCCCCACCCACAGCGCCACCCCCAGGGGGTCCAGCTTCTGGTGCGTATTAAACCTAATTTTTTCATAATTTATACATTGAAAATACTCTGCAGAACACATCGTACCCGACAGTGAATTTTGAAAAGAATTGGCTGTGCAGGGGTCAAAAGAGAGTAAGCCAGGAAGCTACTTGCACGTCACTCTGATTGGCATCGATAGAAGCATCTACACGGCTTTTGTTGAGTTTCTCGAAAGCATCGATGCTTTTCCAGCCCTTTGATCGGCCAGCAGTGCAATTTGTAGTCCATGATGACCCCATTTGCAGCGTGTGAACTCGGCAATTAACAGACGCTCTCGTAACGATCAAGCGTCCTTTTTGAATTCCGCGCGCTTTCAATATGACTTCCCTATCGCTGCGCGCCGGCTGTGCGCAGTAGATATGGCGCGAAAAGGAAACGTTAGCTGCGTTGTTTCCGTTTCCGCCCCTAGGGATGGTCGAATCTTTAGATATTCGAATTATCGGCACCGAGATAATCGCATCACATTCGAATATTCGCTTCCGAAGTATTCGAAACCGCAAATTCGAATAATCGCGTTCGAATATTCGAATAATCGCATTCCAAAGTGTCAAAAGTGTCATTTTATCTCTCACGGTTCATAAAAAAATCAAAAATCGAGGCAATAATCGGAAATATTCGAATATTCGCTTCCGAACTATTCGCAATCGCAAAATTCGAACTCTCAAATAATCGCAATAATCGCATTCGAAAAGTTTCGAATATTCGAATACTCGCATTCGAATTCGATATTCGTCCATCCCTACCCCGACGGTCCCGAACTCCCGAACTGTTTATTTTGAAAACTGAAGTTTAATTCCGAATTCTACGGGTTTCTAGAACCGAGATTAGTTTCTTCGCATAATTTCTGATTCTAGAACCAAGATGTTTCCTTTGCATAATTTCTGGTTCTAATCACACTCGCACAGTAAAAATTGTGCGTGAAAATTGAAATTTGCACTAAAAGAGCAGGATTTCTAGATTTTTTGGGGCACCTTAGGCTCTTGATTCTCAATGCTCAGAGAGGCTCCTCTCCCATAAAAAAGCGCTGAATGTGCTTACAGATCAACCTTTTTGTAAAAAACAGACCTATAACCTAGAACTGTTCAAAATTGAATTCATTGTTCAGGAAAATTAATTTTTTTTCATGCTTTGTATTTTTTTTTTTTTCTTCCATGCTGTGCTGCATGAAGATGTAAATATTATGGTCCCATCGTTAGTTTATCATAGTAATAGGAAATAATAATAATAATAATACCTAATCTAATTCAGACAATATCGTAACAACCTGAGTAACTCTGTAATTATTTTTGTCTTTCAGGCAACAACTATCGATTGGGAAATCTCCATCGAACCGCTTATGCTCAAGTACCTGGACTAGCAACAGTGGCAAATCCACACATAACAGCACCCTTGCAAAATCCGATACCACAACAGCCAATGCCTGTCGCACAAACCCCTGTCATGATGGACACATTACAGTACTCTGTACCTCCACACTCCACACCATCTCCGCCTGCCTCAACATCTATCATGTCGCCCGATGCTGTCGATGGTGGAGTGGCATCGACACTGAGCTCAGGATTTGACTCCAGTTATGCCAGTGGTTTTAATTCATCTGTAAGAACCTATCTTTGTCTAAAGTTTTTTTTATAATTAGAAGAGCTTTGGAAGAATGAGAAGAGGCATTTTTTTTAGGAAATTACTGAAAAAGAAGAATCAAGAAGAATAAAAAGAAAGCATTCATCCCTAATCAGGTACACAGCAGGCATTATCAACTGCCTCGTTTTCTCAGATGCTATCTTGCTTTTTAAATTAAATATGATTGTCAAAAATAGAAACAACTCTGAGGGAAACATGATTTTTTTAGAAAGAAAGAAAAAAAAATTAGTTGCTCTTTAAAACATGGAATGTTTAAGAATAGAACTTTTGCTGATTCATAAACCAGCATCATAAAGTTTCAAAAATTTTTTTCTCATCTTTAAATTTTAGGATGTTTCCCTTTGCAACTTGTTTTTTTTTTTGGTCTTACCAGTCTTTAATTTTTTGTATTTTTATTTTTAACAGAGCACCAACCCCACTTATAGACCTGTCTATCATCACTGGTTCTTTAAAAGAGAAATCGAAGGGAAGGTTGTTTGGTATCCACTCAGCATGGCTGATTCAACAGCTCTGGAAGCAGCATTGAACTCCTGTAAGTCAATATTACCCTTTAAATATCTCAATCCATTAATTAAATTAATGGAGGATATGATGTTGGAAAAGTTTCACTCTACAATTGAGTATAATTTAAAGTAATAATATTTGCAATTCATTAAATTATAATTAATACATTTAAATTTTCTCAGAATTGCCTGATATCAGACACATTCTTCATAACATTTAAGGAGTAATGCATACACCAATTCAAAAAAAAGCTCTAAAAAGTCTGATTTATGTTTGTGCTACCTAAATTCGGAGCATTTTTGAAACAGGATTTAAAAAAAATAATAAAATTAAACATTGCTTGCGTAAAAACTTAAAGATTTTAAGTATAAATTCCTGTGTTTCCTAATAATTATCTCCATCTTTCTGTTCTCTTAAATTTTCAGCTGAACTGAATGTCGATACCAAAGTCCCAACCGATGGTGGTAGATATGATGTAGAAATACTGAGACGTCAACGAGTGGCTGTGTTTTGGAAGGAAGAACCAACCGAGGTCCGCAGATGCTCATGGTTTTCGAAAGGCCCGACTGAGTCCAGACAAATGCCTTACGAAGAAAATATAGCCACTTTATTGGAGGTAACAGTCTATCTGATTTCATTATCCTGAGATGAACATTTTAACTTAGTCCTTTGAGGTCAAATCTCAAAAAATTTACAAATCCTGTTGAAGCCAAAGAGTCAGTCCAAAGGGCAAAATAAAAAATAATTTAATCTTGAAATAAAATTCAAAGTGGTTGAGTGTCAACAGTTGGCAGTGCTGGAACTGTATTCTAACTGCAATATAGCATTAATACTTTATCATTGTAATGATTCATGTGATACAAGAGGACATGAATCTTTTGAAACATGAGGAAAGAGAGGGAAGAAATAAATAGAGTCCTTCTCAGTTTTATCATTGCCGCAGCATTCTCCGCTTTTTAGCTTCACAATTGACTCAAAGAAATAACATTCCCTGGGCATTTGTCACCACTAAAGTGTAAGACAAGAATTCTGACCAAGATATGCTCTTCTTAAGTTGCATTGTGCCCATCATTTGGTAGCTTTTGTGTACAAGCAGAGTAGATACTTATCTGAGGAAGTTCTACGAACCGAGCTCTATTTTTAAAAAGTGCATAATAGGGAAAAATATGCAAGTAATTATACGTTTTTTTCTCTCTAATCCCTGTTTTGTTTCTGAGCAGGAAGAATATAAACAGGCAGTACTCACAAATTCTTGGAGCCGAAGAGTTACACTTCCCAATGAGGATGAAATTGTTATTCACAGCCCAACAGCCATTGTACATCACTCGAAGAACATTAGCTTTTCAAACTTGGCAACATGGGACTCCAACACAGTAAGTACTCTTGGTTTAATTTTTCAATTTCTTCCAAATCTATTTCATTTTATGACGTTTGAATTATATTTCCCAAAAAGGAACAGTTCAATCCACATGACAATTCTAAACTAAATCAGTGATTTTATTCTGTACTTCTTATCTTGAATGTTTTGGAGATGAAAGTACATAGGATAAAGAATTGTGATGTGCAAGATTAGAACAGCAACAAAAAAATATAAATCTTTACTATTCCCGTATCAAAAAATGAAGTGAAAAAAAAAAAAAAAAAGAAAAATTCATTTAGTGACCTTAATGGGTTATGTTCTTTGACAAATTGATTTCAAAATACAAAATATTCCCTTCTTTTCAACATTTCCTTTATTCAGTCAGATTTTGTGTATTTTATCTACTTTAAATTTTTAGAAATGGTATTCATAGAAACTATTATAGTGTCTAGCTTGTTCTTTTTTTTTTCTCCACACACTGACTCTTTTAAATACTTCAAAAAAATTTTTTCTTCTTTAATTTCAGCCTGTTCAACTACAACCCAAAATCGTAAAAAGAGGTTTAGATGAATTCAACATAGCCGAAGGCGAACCAGAAAAAGTAGACCATTTGTTGTTCCTTGTGCATGGCATTGGTTCATTTTGTGATCTCAAGTTTAGGCCAGTTATGGAAGTCGGTAAGCATCTCACAATCAGATGATTCAAAGTTATAATCCAATTAGAATTTCAAAAATGATCCACTTCAATGGATTTTAGACAAAGGAAACACTTATGTATTGAACGCCTCTTGTGGTATTCCTCTAAATTTCTCCTTCTTACTATAGATATTTTTCTTTTTGTATTTATCTACTCATTAAGACATTATACAATTCTGATGCGACTAAAGAAAGAAGCCAATCATGTCAATTTTAAAAACTGAGCATGAAATTAGATGGCATAATGATATGAATGATAAGCACTTAATACTCTGGTGTAATTTGTGTTCAAGAACTTTCCATTCCCTGTTACGAAAAAATTTCTCTAATTATTTTGTTCCAGTGGACGATTTTCGAAACATTTCTCTTCAACTAACACAATCGCATTTCCGTGGTGCAATCGAACAAGGCATTGTGAATCGAATTGAAGTTCTGCCTGTATCCTGGCATGATGTTCTCCACTCACAAGAAACAGGCATTGATAGAAAACTCCAGTCCATCACTTTGCAGTCCATACCCAAACTTCGCCACTTCACTAATGACACTCTCCTCGATATTCTTTTCTACACAAGTCCAATCTACTGCGAAACAATAGTTCAAGCTGTTGGCAACGAACTCAACCGGTAAGTTCCACAAAATCTTTCATTTCTATATTTAATTTTCCACAACAGCCAAGCTCAATGTTTTAGCTGTTCTATTTTGAATTTTCAGGTTCCAAATATTTAAAATTTTCAACTTCACATCATAGAGTGATTTCCTCCTCTTTTAGCATTGTAATATTAATATGCTCCTCGGAGAATTTTTGTATTTGAAACCTAAAAATTTGTGCATGTAGATTTCAAAATGTATGAGAATCATATTTGAAAATTTTAGAAGTAGAAAGTTTCAAGTCTGATTTGAAACCTCACTTGTTATGTTAGATTTCATGCATTACTTTATCATAGTCTGTACATCCTTCAATTAAGAGGATTTGACTTTAGATCAGTTGTTCTCCTTTTCAATTTAAGAGTTGATGTAAACTTAAATCGTCTGCATTGTTTAACTATGAACAGATTATGATCGAACTTGTTTTGACAGAGTGTTGGTGATTTTGCCAACGTCTATGAAAGTTCAATATAAAACTGAAATTCTCATCCTAGAGGACAAGAACTCTTCTCCAAACTTCACCACCAGTGTCAGTCACGATATTTTGACTCTCATCTAAAAACACATTTTCGATTTAAAACTTTGAATAGAATTTTTAATCCATTTATGTCAATTTTTTCACATTGCTTTTAGGTTGTACAGTCTTTACTGCTCGCGGAACCCTCATTTCAGGGGTGGTGTGTCGGTGGGTGGTCACAGTCTAGGATCCCTCATTTTGTTTGACATGCTCTGCAACCAGCTCTCTGTTGGTCACCCTCTCAGCTCGACAGAAACATCAGAAGAACACAAGAACGGCCATGACAGTAGGAAAGTCGGCCTGGGTTGTTTGAACAGTAAAGATGCTGTACTCAGCAATGATGTAAGCTATGTGACCATCGGTCGAGCTGGAACAGGGCAGCCGTATATCAAGTATCCACAATTATCTTTCCAACCAGCTCATTTCTTTGGTTTCGGCGCGCCTATAGGGATGTTCATCACGATCCGAGGAATCGCATCGCTAGGTACGACTGGATTTTCTTTGTAAATTAGTCTGGAACCAGTTTTTAGTATAAGTATCAGTATCTTGTTAAAAGAAAAAGTCCTCATTTCAAGCCAAGCAGGAAATTTCAGGAAAGAGCTATGAGTTATTATGTTTTATATTAAATATGCTCTCTTTTGATGTTGTAAAAAAAATGAAAGAATAATGAAAAAATGTTTATTGCTTTGAAAGAGTACAGATACACTGCGAAAGTATGGATTTTGAAAAACCACTACAGAAGTATGGAAAAGGCACAAATTCTCCGTGAACTGGTACAGAAATTCGAGATATTTGTGATGTACTCTAAAAAGTAGTCTTTTGGGGCATACAATTTCCTAAATCCATTCATCAAGTTTCTGGTTCAATTCCTTGTTTTTTTGGTTGATTCCTTTGTCATTTCATCATTCCGCTTTACCAATCTAAATACAGTCACAGATGTGTTCAAGGTAAAGAGGAAGTAAGGAAATAGCAAGGATTTTTTAATGACAGGGTACCAGTAGACACCCAGATGTAGAAATACTTGTGCTCTGTACACTGTTATGTCCTTGTTTAAGATTCATGACAAATAATTCAATTGATCATGTCGATTGTCTGTTTCATTCACAGGTGCAGACTTTAAATTTCCAACGTGCCCGTCTTTCTTCAATATTTTCCATCCATACGATCCAGTGGCTTACCGAATAGAACCTTTGATCATTCCCGAAATGGAAAAACGTCATCCAGTCCTCATTCCGCACCACAAAGGCCGGAAACGAATGCACTTACAACTGCGTGATACAATGGCTCACGTTGGTGCAGCGCTAAAATCTACCCTCATGGACTCTGTCCGACCTGTGCTCAACACTGTGTACCAGTTGGCCGGCTACAGAGGACGGCCTGATGAAGTAACAATTGAGGAGCAAATAATGACCAAGGTAACCTTCTATTCCTTCTACCATTAAGAATTTTGCTGCTCGTGAAGAGGTTAATACAAGTGAAAAATGTTTGAATTGCCATGAGCTAATGGGCTTTCAGAATTTTTTCCATTAAGAATTTTGCTATTCATGAAGAGGTTAATACAAGTGAAAAATGTTTAAATTGCCATGAACTAATGGGCTTTCAGAATTATGTGGTAATTTCAGGAGAGAAGCGGGAGAAAAGAATCATCTGAGTTTTTAAGAAAATTGTTTTATCAGGGAGGGAAGGAGGGATTAAATCATACAAAAAAGCATTAAATAAAGTAAAAAATAAAACAAAATAAAAGTGACTGTCGGTTTTTAATCAGAATTGAGGAAGATCAGTTTTGCGGGTTAGGATACATATTTCATCCAGTAATCCATAGAGAAGTCGAAATCTAGATAATTTACACACAAAGTCTGCACACAAAATGTCACCTTTGCAAAAAGTTGTCGATGAAAGATTGTATTTTGGGGATGTAAAAAAGATAAATTCTTGGCAGTCAGAAAAGAAATCCGAAATTTTGTCTGAATGCCAAAACAAGTAGCACAACAGTCTAAAGACTACTTTTACAAGAGGGTTGACTTTCATATTTTGACTCTCTGCTCGGTCATGATATCAGTTTACAAAGGAGTTGTTTTTGTATTCCAGGAGTTTTAATCACAATGGTTTTTTTTTTTTCGAAACAGGCCCTTCAAGAGGAATTGACTCAAGAGCAGGAACCCTCTTGTGCAATGCACTACGATGATGACCATTTGGATGAATCTGTGCGAGTAGGTCAACTGAATGGTGGCCGTCGCATCGACTATGTTCTGCAAGAAGCTCCTTTGGAGAGCTTTAATGAATACCTTTTTGCTCTGAGTAGTCATGTTTGCTATTGGGAATCAGAAGACACTATGCTCCTGGTTTTAAAGGAAATCTACTCACACATGGGCGTTTGTGTAGATAACCAAATCCCTCAGCAGATGCTACCATTTGACATTCCAGCGTCGGAAGCCCAGTCTTATAGTGAGGGTGTGCCAAGGTATGTTTCCACCATGGGGCCAGTTAGTGAAAGTTAATATGAAAGGAGATATATATTTATCAATCCCTGAAGAGGATGATACTAAAAATTGAGGAGTTTTCATGGCGGAGAAGTAGATAAGCTGTGCAGCATTCCTAAGATCATGCACCTTTGTATTGAATTTGGTCAATTATTGAAACTAAATAAAATTACCTTCGTGCATAAGAAGTCTAAATATAAACATTTCTATTTACAGAAAATTAATATAAATACAAAATTGCTTCCCGGCTGTTCTCCATGAAAAACTCTCTGATTGGATGTATGTGATAGGAATATCAATCCATGAATTGTCAATATAGGGTGACCCAATAGTCCCGCACCACTAGTGGTGGGCATCACCCCTGTAACTTTTGAACTATTTGAGTTAGAAACTTGAAATTTCGCGAGTGCTCCAGGTCAAATGAAATGACTTTTGGGAGCCCCCTAAAATTTTAAAAGTACCATCCTGAAAAGGGGCAAGAGGTTATAGAGGTGGTACAGGACTTTTGTTGCACCCTATACACCTAACTCAAACAATTTTAGTAGTATTTTAGGCAGAACAATCAAGACACCTGAGGTTGCCCTCATTGCATCTCAACTACCTACTGTAATTAAAATTCAAATTGTAATTTTTTACTTAAGTATGCGAAGACACTGTGTCTCTGTAATTTTGCGTGTGATTAATACATTTTCACAAAGTTATTTCCTTTTTTATCATTAAAAAGTATAAAGCTACCGTATTTACCAGGCATTTTAATTTCATCAACTCTGTAACAAGAATGGGTCAGGCACAATTACACAAATCGGAATCATTCAATCCCTGCCTGGAAAAGTTGCAATTTTTTTCTTTTCTGTTTTATGATATGCATGTTTTTTTTTTTTTTATTTTACAGCAGTCTAATCTATGTACGTTTTAAGTTTAAAGTATGAAAATTACTCTGAAAGGTTTCTTTGTTTCCATAGTTTTTATGTTATTTATCTTTAAATCATCGGAGCCTCTTGTCATACAAACTGGCAAGGTTAACTGCCACATTACTTTGAAAAATTCTGTGTTTCCAAACCTGTCAACAAATTAGATTATACATCTCTCTAGATACATCTCATCTAGTTAACTCTCTTGGAAGTTTGAATTTTTAATGGAAAAATCAATAATCAAATGTTACTGCTCAACTGATTGTGTAAACCAAAGTTATCTGATGAGGACTTTATCCAAACTTCAAAATTGTGATTATGAAACTGTATTTTAAAGTTGAAAAAGATCAGTCATTGTGAGAACTTTCAGAGACTCAAGTCATGAATTGCTTCTTTGCAAATGATTTCTTTCAAACCCATGGTTGACCTAAAAAGTGAGGAATAGACAAGAGGTTTCAATTGTGCCTATGATATTAACTTTATTTTTTTATGCAATAAGTCCAGTCATTTGCTGATTTTTTAAAACTATTTATCTGTCCATTTTAAGACTTTTTTATGCAAGTATCAATTTTATATAATGTAAGAAAGCCAAGATTTTTATTCTTGTATTGTAAATCATGAATTAATGATGCTGTTTTTCTATCAATTATTTTTTATAAATGTTAATGTTGATATTGTTTTAATTTATAATGAGAAGGGCTGTTTTAACGGTACAAATAAAGTCTTCAAGTAATTTGTTTCTTAGTACCTTCATTCATTTGAAAACTTGAGAGTGTTATGCTGCTCAATGTGGAGTTGGCATTTTTATATTTTTGTTAACGCATGGAAGATGCAAAAGCTACCTCTTTAAACAGCCCTTTTATCTCATACAACTGCACTGTTAGTCAAGTCGATTTTTGTTTATTGTTATGTTGATAATTTTTAGATTTTAAAAGTTGCGTTTTGTGATTGACTCACCTTTTTCTGTACAGCGGAAAGTCAAGTTCTGTCGCTCTCATACAGCCCGTTACAAAGAGTAAAGCAACACATTGCTTATTGCAATAAATTTTAATTTGCATATTCATTCACTGTGCTCAATGCTATGGACAAAAATACACACACAGAGAGCTTTCTCTTCTCATTTTTGGCACATGATGACAACAGCGCCAGGCATTTGAGCTCCATTAATAGAGGATATTAAAGCTTTTTGCTCTCACAATAAAATCTTGTTCTCAAACTCCTAGTCTTCAGGGCAGCACACTAGTTTTGTTTATTTTCTGCTAAGTACTAACCCATTCATCTTTCCTCAATATAAGGAGTATGCACAGTACTTTTTGTCTTTTTTTGTGTTTCGCTTTATTTCGAGGAACTTTTCAATAATTTTAGGAAGTATAACTTGAATGGAGTAGAGGTTTGTAATGTTGAATGCCACACCGATCAATATGATTGGGTGCAAAAGCTTATACTGCTGTCTGATTCTACCAGTCCTGAGTATCATATACGAATTCATGGCCTGTGATCAGTGTAGTATCAAGCGAACATACATTTTTTTCCTCCACATTTTTCAATGTTACCTCTTTTCATTTTCACTGTGACTGGCGCTGTGGTGTCATCGAAGAACACACAAAATACACTGTAAATGCAATTATTTCACATTTGATCAATGACAGTGCAGCTTCCAGTCAGTTTTTACTTGGCATCTTAGATCTTTAAAATTTGTTTTTGATTGTACAGACTATTTTTATAAAAGATTTTATGCATCCTTAAATTCGTTTTTTTTTTATTTTAATTTGTTATTACTGTGAATAATTACAAATAAAATTCAGTCATTTTGCAATAGTGTACTTATTTATTTACCTCTGAATGTATTTTAAAATAAAATAAAATATAAATAAAAAGTAATAAAATAAAACTAATAATTAATTATTAAATAACAATTACAATTCTACCTGATTCACTTGACTTGCCAAGAAATAATCTAATTTTGACAGATTTTATCAGAAATTAACCGAAAAAAGTGATGATTTTTGTCGTAAAATAACGCATCCAATGTTCCATTTTTGCGTAATCTCTCTAGACGATTGAAGCTCTCTCAAAGAAAAATCCGCGAATAAAACAGAAAGGGGGGGGGGCGCGTTAATTTTTCGACTTATTGGATTTTCCGACCCAGATATAAATAACCGTTTGCAAGGAAAAGAACGTCAGTCTACGAGGCAAAATATTTACCTAAGCTACCTATTTATTCCCATCGAAATCTCGGGTATTTAATCATGTTTTACGGCCTAGAAAGCTTTCGCCGTCATTTGCTCATTCGATCTGGCAACACTCACTACAAAATACTACGTAGAGTTCTACACAGCGTACTACAACGAATTCTTGGTCTCTTATTGGCTTGTTCTGTTTTGAATGGTTCATTCATGAATTGCAAGGCGCCCGCTATGCGCAGCACGTGACCACGCACATGGTAAAATATGTAAACAAAGCAAACGCGGCGATTTTAAATGATTTTTTAAGTACATTATTTATTCAAAGTAGATTTCCTTATTGATTTAAATTGCCGAACTTGATAATGCGGAGTGGAATATTCAGAAACGGTTTTTAAGATTGTTATATCTTCATTAAAATGTTAGCAAACATCTGAAGAACAGAATGTGTCGATGTGATAATGGTTACTTTTTTGAGTATGAAGTTCAGACCAGCCAAAGATGTTGGTCATCAATCGAATGTAGTTTAATTTTTTCCCTCATGATCATGCCACAGCTGGCTGGAGCATTTTCGTCCAATGTACGCACGGGCATAGGAAATGTATCCAAATATATAAATCCGTGAGCCCGTTCTTTATTTCAAAATTGCGCGGGGACCGTCGCACAATGGATCGAGTCAATAAGAGAAGTCAGACAAAATTTGGAAACTTTAAAAGCTTATAACTCCGTTTATTCAAAACTTTGAAGTTCTAAAAGTAGTTCCATTGGTGTTTTCGTGAAATTTTCTTATAGTGAACACCTCTGAAAGTTTACATTGTGACGAAATAAACGTAAAAATTTGCAGTTTTAGTCAAAAATTTAATTTCTGACCTCTCTGATTGACTCGATCCACTGTGCGTCGGTGTTCCCCCACGTAGCACAGAATATCGATATAATACTACAATAGTACTGACACGTCAGTAGTGTCAGTATTTATATAATGCTGATGTATCCTGATTTAATATTACATCAAGACTATGCCAGTATTTATTAGTTACTGATTTGGAGCTGTCAAAATATTGTTACAGTATTGGCCGAAAAGGTTGATGTCATATGGAAATCAGGGTTATGACAAGGTCATCAGAACACTGCAGGACACCGACAATATGTATGCATTACTACCTTGACACTGACACGTCTGTACACTCAGCGCACTCTGTCAAGTAGATATGAAAGTTCAGACGATGACCGTCATTTTCATAATACTACACATGTATTACATTTGAAACATGAATTACACAAGTATACAAGTATTGAATATTATAAACCACTTACTTGATGTCCTGCGACGTTTAGTAGCGTAAAATATCCGGACGCCCTCGGGAGGATTTGAACCCGAACCGCGGAATTTCTAGCTTAGTACTCTGCCATTGAGCCACAGGGAGCTGATGGTGTTTCGGGTTAAAATCACGCCTGTTAAGGCTGTTATAGCATACATAGCATCAGTGCGCGGCTCGACTTTCATCATAACTTTGATTAACACCGTGTTTTCTTAGGCTTCTTTTTCTTCCTATATTTTTTTTCATTTTTTCTTGTTAATTTCTTTTCGTATTATTTTTTTTTTTTTTACCTCGTCAGCATTGACTCAATACTGTTGTTTGATATATTGAAGGTATCAGTGTTATATTCATGCTGACACGGTATACCTTTTAACCGACAATCTTAATATCATACTGCATTAGTGTTGGTGATATCATGTCAACACCCAACAATATGTATCAGTATTGACATAAGATTCTGTGCTATGTGGGCCCGATCCCCCGGGGTCGGGAAAATCACGGGATTCGCGCGTCGGGCGACCCTTCCTCCCTTTGAAAAACTGGGTTTCTCATTCTTCCCACTGGGAGATGCAAGGTTTTTCGTTTGTCCCTGGCGTATTTTTTCTGATCATCTGACTTGGCTGACCGGCGCGCGAGTTTGTCGTAATGAATATTTGCCGTGTAAGAAGATGCCTGATTTTTTGGCGTTAAACTTGAACAGGTATGTACAGTGCGTGTCGTTTGAATTTTGCAAATGGATCGGAGTCGAAATCGTGGTCGTCTGGCGAAACGTGGAAATGTTTCTCACTATTTTGCCGCGCAGCGCATCGTGCGGTATGTATGAGAGCCAATTCAAACGCATAGTAGCGCCTTACAAGCCCCCAGGATACTTCATGCATTGCGCGTATAGCACGGTGCGCGCCGCGCCGAGTATAGCGCCTTACAAGTCCGCAGGATACTTCATGCATCGCGCGTATAACACAATGCGCGCCCAAGTCGTTAAAAAGTCGTATTTTCATGCTGTCGTGTCGAAGTTTCAAGCCTATATACCCCAGTGTACACAATTTCCGAACAGTGCACATCGCGAGCTTGCAATTCTAGAATCACAGGATTGTAGAGATTTTGTAATCCTGTATGTTTTCCGGTGAAAATATAATTTGCGAGTGGAAATTTTTCAAGTTGGAATGCTGCTACGTTCTATCGTCCGGAAAATTCCGAACTTAGCTAACTTCCAGGGAGGGAAAGTACACATTTTTAGTGTATTTTCCGAAAGAAATACACTATTTTTTTTTTATTACAAATGTGGCAAAATTTCCTGGGAGATATTCTTGGTATCACATTCACACAAAAATGAACTCTGGTGATCCAACCTAACTTCGGCAATTTTTGCAACATGACCCAGGTACGCCTATGGATAATATGGAAAAATTTTTGGTTGGAAGGGGGGGGGGGATCCACCTCGGTGCCGCGATGGCTGGTCTGTTGGTGATCTCCCCGGCCGCTTCTAGGCGCAGGCCGCCTCTGATCTTAATTGCAGGGATTCAGAAATTCGGACGATGATCAATTTTTTTTTTTTTTTTTTTGATGATGAATATAATAAAGAAAATAGAATGAACGAAAATATCGGGTCGGCACTTTCTTTGATTTTGTTTGAAATCAGTCAGGCGCCCTTGATTCTTTGCCCGTTTTTTTCGATTAATTAAAGGGAAAATATGTGCATATCTTAATTGTAACGATTCATAAGCTAGAATCACGTAAAATTAATTCGGGGGTTAATAGAAAGAAAATAAGACGAACGAAAATATCGGGTCGAAATCGATGATTTTATTTAAGATCATTCCGAAAAATTCCCGGATACTAATCATGCAGAAAAACTGTACTCATATTCTTAAGAAACCCTGAAATAAAATAAAACATGAGAAGTGGCGTGTAACGTTGCAATCGAAGATGAATACGCTTTTTCTCGTGCACCTGTCGGCATTTGAATTCATTTATCTCTTTAATAACTTGAACATAGTTGTCCTTCGATTTTTTTTAGTAACTAACATGATGCTGTTTTCTAAAAATATTTTTGGAACAAAAGCCAATACATTTTTTGGAAAAATTCCCCAAAAAAGCCGAAATTTGAATTTTTGATGCCCCGCCATAAGAAGAAAGATAGAAAAAGAAAGAAAGAAAGAAAGGAAAATCCTCAACTCCTGAGTCTCACTCTGTTTTAACAACTTCATTAAAATTTGATGTATAGATGGTACAATTTATTTCTTTCATAATTACAGTATCTAAAACCCTGGGAGAATGGATATTTTCAAAGTTTTTAGACAGATTATTAATTATCTATCACAACATTTAATCCGTCTCACTGGCAACATTATATCGGATTTTCTTGTAAGACTTTGTAGATCAAGAAAAGTTATGTTAAAAATAAAGGTTGAAGCTCATATTCTGGGGCGTAGCGTAAGATACATTTTCTTAAACCTAATTGAATGCATCATTTGCGGAGTTTTACTCTTTTCTACTTAGAGTCTGAAATAGGGGGAAACATTCGTCCCATCCAAAACACACTTTGAATTTAATATTTTCTTTGGAAAAATTCATGAAATTCAGAAACAGGATCCACCTGCACAAAAAGTTCTTTCCGTCCCAATCTTTACTCTTTACCTATTCTAATTATTTTGACTCTTAGGTATTCGCTTTTGCCTATCTTTTCAACTGAAGGCAAATCTTGTGGCCGCTCAATAAGCCGTCGCGTCGTCTCGAGTGGACGCGCGATCCTTCATCAACGCCTTCATGAGGCATGAGAATACAACTATTGTAGCTCTGGAGGACCCGCTTTTGCCTATCTTCTCAATTGAAGGCAATTTAATGGTTTTCCAGAGAGTATACCTACTCCCTATTCTACGAGAAATCTCATTAAGTCATTATCTAGCATTATCTAGCAGTCATTGATCTCAGCATTTGCGTCACGAAAAGAACCGCGATGTGTTGATAACGATTAACAGTAGATTGCGAATAACGATAGACACGTATCCCACTGCGATGTTTCAAAGTTCCCGTTGTTTTTTCCCATTTAAGAAAGATGTTAAAAAAATGAACGCTATTGTTTGTAATTTTTACAGAATTCTCTGCACACAACTAGGAAGGTTTATTGAAAAATACAGAAATTAATCTTCTCCATTTTTCATCTTGAAAAAACAAAGTGCAACAAGAAATTTGTAACGTCACAAATCGAGCTACGTGTTTTGCGTCAAACTCTGTATTTTAGAGTATAATGGATAGATCGGCATCCTGATAGGTACTCATTTGTGTTGGCTGCAGTTCTCCTGAAGTCTGCGCGA